TAGACTGGGAAATCAAATGGGTGACCCCTTGATTCACAGGCCAGCACTCAGCCCACTGAGCCACACAAGCCAGGGCTCGACTGGGGGTTGTTTCTTTGTCTCCCCATTTTAGGTGATTCTCTTTGTTTGTTTTGCTTGTCAGATTGCTCTGCTTTGACTGCCTTGTCTTCATGGGGTGAAGTTCTGTGGGACTCAGTGGTACAGTCTTTTCGATCACCTGATCTGGATGCCCTAGGGCTGCCATTTATTCAGTTTATATGGGTTTTCTTGTTATACTTGGGCTTTGATTACTGATGGCTCATTCATTGGTGGGTTCTTCCGTCTGGCTGACTGAGAGTCACAACCCGCATTGTGCCTTGTATGCTGTTGTACGGGTGCTGGCAGAACAAAGCAAAAGTACCCCAAAACCAAACCTATGCCAATAAAAATACCCCGTACCACATCAGAAATATCAACAGCAAATGAGCAGATTAGTAAAGGTGGAAAGAAATTAAGAGTAGTATAAGATAGAAAAAAGGAATATGAAATGACTAAAGGAGAGAAAAATGATTTTGAGAGGAAAGAGAGAGGAGAAATAGTAAGAGTAGGGATAGAAACAAGGTGAAGAGAAGGAGAAAATAAAATTTAAAACATAAGTAAAAAAGGGAAGGGCAATGGCAAGATGGAGTAAGAAAAGGGAAGATATAATGTGAGGTCTGAAATAAAATTTAAAAAATAGTGAACCAATGGGAACAAAACTGAAGAGAAAACACAACAGGGTCTATAACAATGACAGCTGAGCAAAGATTAATAAAGGTAGAAAGAGACTAAAAATATTATAAGAGATAAAAAGGAGAATATGATATGTCTACAGTAAAGAAAAATTATTTTGAGAGGCTAGAGGGAAGAAAAATAATAGGAGTAAGGAATAGAATCCAAGGCTAAGTGAGAGAAAAAATAAAATTCCAACTTTAAATAAGCAGGGGCAGGAGGAAGGCAAAATGGAGTAAGACAGGGAGAGAGTAATCTGTGAGATATGAAGTAAAAAAATAGTGAACAAATTATTTCTTCAAATAATAAAATTGAAGAAAAATAGCAATAACCACAATATCCACACCAAACAAGAACAGTTAATAAAGGTGGAAAGAAAATAAGAGTATTATAAGAAAGGGGGAAAGAATGTGAGCTGACTAAAGGAAAAAAAATGATTTTGAGAGAATAAGCAGGACGAGGAATAGTAAAGGTAAGGAATAGGCACAAGGCACAGAAAGGAGGGGAAAGGTTAAGACTTTTTTTTATAAGAAAGGGCAGGAAGAGGACAAAATGGAGTAAGACAAGGGAGGGGTACAATGTGATATTTGAAATAAAAATAAAAATTAAAAATGTAAGAATCTAAATAACAAAATATAGTGAATTAGTTGGAATATAATTGAAGAAAAAGAAATGTTAAAAGGCTATGTGAGAAAAAATAATGCAAAATCTGAAGAAGAATGAGGTGGCATTTGTTTTAGCAGAGTTTGGCGTTTGCCTTCTGTCTTCTTCTTCTGGGTCTGTCTTTGGCTTTTTGTCAGCTAAAGGTCCAGGGGGACCTTTAAAGGTCATCAGCTTCTGGCAGCTCTGCATGTATTACCTCTACCTGCCTCTACAGGGGGTTTTTATTGCAACTTGGGTGGGAGACCCTTGGGTTTATCATGGGAGGTGCTGTCCAGTCTTCTGGGAAAATTGTGGGTATGTCCCCTGCCTCTGCACCACCCATCTTGGTCTGTCCCAGCTTATTTCCAATAATGTGTAGTTTCTGGTGAACTAGCTGTCCATTTCAAGGGAGGGGCCAATCTGTGTAAGAGGGTCAGCTCTTTCCTGCTTGGTGCTGATGGCAGCTCAGTGTGGAAGCCGAGGTTGGGCAGGGCCCTGATTCCCCATTGCTGCACTGATTTCTGGTCTCCCTGCATTGCTGGTCTCAGCGGAATAGGGCCCTAGGAACCAGTGTATTTTGTCTCCCTGAGAGCAGTATAAAATGCACCTGTGTGATGCTTCTCTTCCTGTCTTTCTCCTGCGGATGTGCATCCTGCGGGGGGGGGCCTTGAGCCTGTCCTGCAGAGCTTCCCCATTGGATGCGGTGCTTGCAGTCCTGCAGGAGGTGGGGGATGGGTACTCCTTCCCTTCCCAGAGGTTTGAACTCTGCAGGGGAAGAGGGTTATGCCTGGCTATAAATAATCTCAGGTGCTCAACTCTTGCCCATCTAATTCCCAGCTCAGAGCCCTTGCAGTAGACACAGTACCTAATTCTCCATTTTGCACAGACCTTGGCTTGCTAGCCTCACTGGGCTTGGGCCCAGAAACCCCTTTGCTGCCTAACTTTCTGATCTCTGCTCAGCTGTATTCAGTGGATGCAAACTGTGCTTCAATCTTGTTCCATTGCTGACAGGGCAGCCACACTGGGGTCTCTGCCCCGAATGCTTCAACTCCTTTTAAATAGTCTCTCTGGCAGTCCCACTATAGTAGTGAGTGAGTCCCTGTCCAGTTTTCCATGCACACCACCTCTCCAAAAAGCCAAAAGTCTCTCATGGTCATGGCTGGCTGCAGTCTGTCTCCACCCAACCCAGGTGCAGCCCATGATCCTTTTGATGGATAGAGCTCCCCCCCCTCTCTCTGGCATGGTCCCTACCATCATTTGGTGCTGCAGCTATGGACACACTGCTCCCCGTATGTGTGTGTAGCCCGGCTCTCCCCAGCTTTGTACATTTTCCTGCGTCACTCCTGGCCCAGGTCTGTGTGTTCCCTTCCCTGGGAGGGGAGGGAGCTACAAAGCTGTGATTTCTAACTAGTCTCTCCATGGCTGCAGGTACCACACATGGGGCATTTCCCCTTTACCTTATATAATCTCCTTACCACCCATTGTGAAGGGACTTCTGTACTCCTCAGCTTCCAAACTTCATATCAGCTAAGATTCTGTGGAACGATCAGTGAATTTTTTCAGAAGATCAGCCAAGAATCCGAGTTGGGGACAAGAGCAAGTGGACTCAGCTTCCACCTCTTGGCCTCCATCTTGGTCTTTCATCAAAACAGCTTTTGAACTCATCAATTTTGATGCCTTTTAGTGCTTCTGCTGTTTTTTGTTTCACCTCTCCCACATCAGCAAAATGTTTTTCTTTGCGGACTTTTTCCATTTGGGGAAACAAAAAAACATTGCTTGGGGCAAGATCAGGTGAACAGGGAGGGTAGGGCACAGGGGTCATGCCTTTTTTGGTCTAAAACTGCTGAACACTCAGCATGGTATGGCAGGTGTGCTCATAAATCACCCCTCATTAAATGGGCAATTCATTCAAAGGATTTTCCAAAACACTTCACTGAAGCCGAATGCAGCCTCTCACAACGCCAGCTGGTACACTGATACCGATGGGCTTCTAAACACTCACGTATTGGGGGAAGCCTGTACCACAAGGGGCCCGCTCTCCAGAAAATTCCATTTTGGGGGGATATATACAGGGTCTGGCACAAATAATGCCCCTTTTTTATCACAAAATATTTTACTACAAAATCATAAGCATATAATTCTGTGGCATAACAATATCACACTTAAGTACCTCATATGACATTTTAGGTGAAATGTTCAAATTAAAACTATAAATTATTACACTCATATTATTGTCCTACCAACCACGCTCAAGCAGGCCTTACTTCTGCAGGACCCTGTGTGTCACAACTTATTTATTCATTCATTCATCCATTTGATGGATACTTTGGTTGTTTCCATGTCTTGGCTATTGTGAATAATGTTACTTTAAATATGGGGGTGCAGATAGCTTTTTGAGTTAACGTTTTCATTTCCTTTGCATATATTCCCATGTCCAGCTTTTTAAAATGGTCTGTGGTGGAAGGGTCAGTTTATATTATCTAATTTGCTATCACCAAAAGCAGAAGGTCTCCATCCTTGGTCACATTTAAAATTTTTTTTGACATAGAGAGTTTTGAACATACACAAAAACGGACTACTGTAATGAGCCCCTGTGTATCCACCACACAGTTACAAAATAACCATCAGCCCTCGGCCAGTTCTGCTCCATGTACATTCCTGTCCACTCTCCCATCCTCTATTACTTTGAAGCAAATTTCAGATATCCCATTAATTCATTTGTAAATATTTGAGTACATAGCCTAAAAGATAAGGAATGTTTTTTTGAATAAAACATAACCACAAAACTAGTATCACATCTAAATAATAATAATTCTTTAACACAAAAAAATCTTCAGTCAGTGTTCAAATTACTTTGCTACATTTTAATGCAGTTGTATCCAGCAATGAGCCTGTATAGATACCTTGCTCCCAAATGTGTAATAGAGAGATTCTCTAGCATATTTATGAAGGCACTTTCTGATTTGGTCAATGAGCAGTCATAAAATTGAATTTCAAGTCCTTGGGCAAGTCTCCACCTATCTAGATCCTCCCCACTCTGCAGTGGCCAAATTCAAGCCTCCCCTTCCCTGGAAGCCTCGCCTGACCACCCCTCTGATTCACTACCCAGCTCCTGTGGCACACGGCCAGACTGTCATGGATTGGTGTCACTTCTCGCGCTTGTAACCTGTGGGGAAGACAGGGTCATGTGTGCTGTATTTTTGTATGACAAACTGAGTCTGTCATGTTGTGGGGAGATAGCACCTGTATAGTTCAAGAATTTAGTGAGGGCCAAATGAAGTAATATATGAGGACCTTTTTATAACCTACATAGCAAAATTGTAAGGGATTTTGTTGTTTGCTTGTTGTTGGCATAACTGCTATATGAATTAGTCTTAGACTATAATCTCTGTGAGGGCAGAGACCCATGATCCCAGAGTCTGTCACAATGCCCAGCAGTAGGCTTCTAATAAGTATTTGTTGATCTAATTTATTATCCAAATGATTTAGCAAGCTCCCTCTATTAAATAATATAAAATAGAAATGATAGAGTTAAAGTCCTACAGGAAAAGGTTAAACTTTACCAAAAAATTTTATTTGATTTTTTTTCTCCTTCACAAATCTGATAGGTTTATCTCAACATATAGTCACCAACTATAAGCAAGTAATTCAGCTCCTGGAGGAGGGAATAGCGAACAGGTAACAGATTCGTTTGTCCCTGTCATTCTGTGCAGCCTCGTTTTCCAGTCCTGTGCTCTCCTCCTCTCTGGCGTGTGCGCGGGTACCTGTCTCTGCAGCTCCCCCATGTTCATAGTCAGGGGGCCTTTCTCAGAACAGTGATGTACCCCCAGGAAGCTGCACTGACTTAAGATTTAGGAATCTTCTCACTAATAATGAGATGGTCTTAAACTGAAGAATTATTGACTTAGATTTAGATGGAGGGAAGGCTCTCCTAACTTCACATGAGAATGAATTTCTAAAGGAGACTGTGAATTCCATCTGGCTTAAGCTTGACCTTGACATAATTCCAGATCTCATTTCAAAGGTCTTTCTGGCACTATAAGATTAATATTCTATGTTTAATCACAACTTTCTCTGTCTTCTAGGCTTCTTCTCCAACAAGTTCTTTACCTCCCTTTGTCTTATTTAATGGGTCTGTCCAGGTTGAATGTTCTTTAGTATTCCCTTTTTCAAATGTAATTTTTGTTTCTGTTGCTTAAAAGAAGTTCTAATGTAGTTGAGCATAAAGATACATTCCCTTTCACTCTCAGATATCAGTAACTAGAGCACTGCTACTGCCCCCGCTGGACTGCCCTCCTAGGTACACTGGGCTAAGTATGGATGCTGCTGCCTCTCGTCTGTGATCCTCAGCACTGACATTCTTGTCTTAGATCCTCAGAGATTCACCATGCATAAGCAATGCTCATTCTAATTTTTTCGCCTTGTATACACAGAATCACAGCAGCCACCCACGTTCATGAGGCCAGCAGCAGATCCCATGCCATCTTCACTATCCACTACACTCAGGTGGGTTACTTCTTATATTTGGTTAGATTTCTTCCTTTCCTTGTCCCTTTTGACTTCATCCATTTACAGGTCTATTAAGCTGTGCACCTAGAAAGGGTAGAGGCATTGAGTAAGACTAATCAAAATACCTTCTACTTACATTTTACTTTTAAGATTTCAAAGCACTTTTATATCTATGTGATAAGTATGGCCATTTAAAACAAAAAGCAAGATTGAAGTAAAACAAGCATTAAAATGAACGAGTAAAAGATTCACTTCTATTATGACAGAGTAAAAAAGTCAACAAATCCTGTCCCCAAAAAGCAGCTGCAAAGCTGGACAAAACTGTGCAAAGCAACCATATAATAAACTAAGAAGCCTATATTCAAGAAAACTACAGAATTGCAAGCAAGAACAGCTCAAATGTATAGTACATTGTCTCGGGCTGCTCCCATCCCTCCTCACCCCCCAATCTCTGTCAACGAGGCAGTTCGATCAGGGGAGGGAAGGTTGTGCAAGCCAGTTTTGTTTCTGCCACTCCCAGAGGTGTTGATTTGGAGCACGGTCAGTTAAAGTGACCATCTCAGTGAGAAGTGAACGAGGAGGGCCAGTGGCTCCGTTGGCCTGTGACTGGGGGTCTGTTCCAGGCAAGAAATGAACTGGCAGATTATCTGAGGATTTAACAGGGGTTCAGAGAGATGACACAGCCATAGCGGCTTTTGATAAGATCCTCTCACATCCTGAGGAACCTAAGCTGTGCACACACAGCAGAGACTAAGCGGGCTCAAGTCAGCCACGCAGCCCTGACTTGGCAGAATCTACACATATGTTCAGAGGAGATACAAGAGGGCCTTTGGCTAGTGGATGATGGGGTAAACTGCTAGACCTTTTCATTTATTCCCCAGCTCACACACTGATCCATCAATGGAGAAGAAGTCATGTTGGCTCAAGGTATTTGATTACAACTTCCGACCAGTCTTTGGCTGGACACTAAACTGTGCAGACACAGGTCGGCCCCTAAGAAGCCAAGCGTACAACTGAAAATGACTATGGGAAAAACTGCAGAGACTGCTTTGTCTGCATACTGTGGGGCAGACAGATTTTAAAGATTTAGTCCAGGCAAGTTACCAAACAAAACAACTAACACTACCACCCTTTATAGGAAAAAAACAGAATCCAGAGTTGTTACAATATATTATCTAAAATATCTAGTATTCAACCAAAAATTATTAGACATGGAAAAACAAACAAGTGTGACCCATGCTTAAGGAAAAAAACAGCCAATAAAAACTGACTCTAAGTGACTCAGATGTTGGATTTAGCATACAACCACCCTGAAGCAGCTAATATAAATACGATTAAAGAACTAAAAGAAACCATTGTAAAGAATTAAAGGAAAGCCCTCACTGATGTGGTTCAGTAGGTTGGGCATTGTCCTGCAAAGTGAAATGTTGCTGGTTCAATTCCCGGCTGGGGCACATGCCTGGGTTGGGATTCTTTCCCTGTGGGAGTGCGTGCACGCAACAACCACTCGATGTTTCTCTCTCACATCAGCGTTTCTCTCCTTCTCTTTCTCCCTCCCCCACCCGTCTCTATAATAAATAAATAAAATCTTAACAAAAAGAATGAAAGGAAAGCATGATGACAATGACTTTAGAGAATTTCACTAAAGTGATATAAATTATCTCCTTAAATAGGGATTATAGAATCCAAATGTACAATAATTGACATGAAACATCCATGGTAGAACTCAGTGGCAGATTTGAGATGGCAGGAGAATCTGAAGAGGAGTGAACAGAGACACTCAGGCCTGTGGGACAGAATCAGGTCCTGCCCACACCAGGGCGATGGGAGTTCCAGGAAGAGAGAACAGAGAACAGTCATAAGGGAACTTTGAAAGGTAACGGGAAAAAAAATCCCCAAATTTGTTCAAAATCATTCATCTACAGATCTAAGATGCTTAAGAACTGCAAGTAACATAAACCCAAAGAAAGCGTCATGTCCAGACTCATCACAGTCAAACTGTTGAATGAGAAATGGAAACTCTTGAAAGCAACTAGAGAAAAACGACTCATGATGTACAGGAGAAAAATTACGTGATCAATGGCTGACTTGTCATCAGAAGCATTGGACCCCAGAAAACAGAGTGATGAAGAAAAATAAAACTGTCATCCAAGATTTATATGTGCAGCAAAACTAGCTTTCAAAAGTGGAGATGAAATAAGAACATTCCTATAGTGAATAAAGAAAAAAAAAGACAGAATTATTGCAAGCAGCCCTATTTTACAGTAACACTAAGTGAAATATTTTAGACTGAAATAAAGTGATGTAGTCTTTCTCACTTCCTTAAATGTCATTAAAATAAAGTTATATAAAACAATATAATGCTATATTACTGTACATCACATATACACTCACACACGCACACACTGTCATACTTGTGACTAATAGCATAAAGGAATGAGCAGAAAAAAGATATATTGGAGTAAAGTTTCTATATTCTAGTTAGAATTAAGTTGGTATTTTTTGGAAGTCAATCGCGGTAAGTTAAGATGCATATTCTGATATGTAGAGCAGGGAAGTAGCTAAGGGAGCACTAAGAAAGTAGTTCAAAATTGTAATTTAAAAGTCAGCAGGGATTAAAATAGTACACTAAAAATACTTATTTAACACCCAGAAGGCAGAGGAGGAACACAAGAACAAAACATCATGAATCATATAGAAAATAAAGAGAAAAACAGCAGATATGATTCTGACCACATCAATAATTATACTAAGTATGAGTGGATGAGGGTACAAACAATCAGACTAAAAGCAAGACCCAAGTATATGCTGTCTTCAAAAAACACTTTTTAGATTCGAAGATATAAACAGGTTGAACGTAAAAGGATGGAAAAAAATACACCATGTAAATAATAGTCATAAGAGAGCAAGAGTACTCTATTAGTATCAGACAGAAAGAATAGATTTTAAGACAAATATGAGAGAGAGATTTCATAATGATAAAAGGTTTATACATCAAGAAGATACAGCAATTTTAAATGTATGTGCTTTAAACACTAGAGTCCCAAAATGCACAAAGGAAAAATTTACAGAATTGGAAAGAAAAATAAACAGGCAATTCAATAACAATAGTTAGAGATTTCAGTGATCCACTTTGAAAAATTGGCAGAACAACTAGATAAAAATCAATAAGGATATAGATTTGAGCAACATTATCAACCAATGTGACCTTACATTTAAAGAGTACTCCACTTACATCTATAGGACACTTATTTCCAAGTGCACATAGAAATTCTCTAGAATAAACCACGTACAGCATAAAGCTAGGTAATCAAGATAGTCTGGCATTAACAATAAGATAGATAAATAGATCAACGGAACAGACAGAATGGAGTCCAAAACAGATCCACATATGTATAAGCAACTGTCTTTTTTTTTTTAACTTGTGCAAATCAGAATCTGATACCAATTAAATGGTGACAGTTTTGTCAGTAAGAATATGCTCTTCCATGGCTAGGAAAGCAACTGTCTTTTAACAAAGTGGCAAAGACAATTCAATAGTGTCTAGCTTTTTCAACAAATAGTGGTAGGACAATTGAATATCCATATATTTAAAAAAAACAAACTAAAGACACCTTTGATCCATACTTTGTACTTTATCTGAAAATTAACTCAAACTGCATCATTAGACAGAAATGTAAAACTGAAACTATTAATCTTGTAGAAGGTAACATGGGAGAACCTTTGTGATCTTAGATTAGGCAAAGTGTTTTTTTTTTTTTTTTTTAGATATGACACCCTGTGAACCAGACAATCTTGGTTCGATTCCCAGTCAGGGCACATGCCTGGGTTGCAGGCTGGTTCCCTTCAGGCCGGTTCCCAGCAGGGGACACACAAAGGCAACCATACATTGATGTTTCTCTCCTTCTCTCCTTCCCTTCCCCTCTACAGATAAATAAATAAAATCTTTAAAAAAAAAAAAAAAAGGAACTCTCCAAACTCAATAAGAAACAACTAAAAATAATGGGCAAAAATTTTGAACCAATACTTTATTAAAGAAACTGTACAAATATCAATTAAACACTTGAAAAGATGCCTAACATTGTTAATTATTAGGGGATGCAAGTTAAAACCAAATGAAATATCACTGCTCTCCTTTTAAAATGGCTAACATTAAAAAGAGTGATTTCAAACATGTTCTAGCAGTTTCTTAAAAAGTTAAACATCCACCTACCATTCGATCCAGCCGCTCCACTCCTGGGTATTTTCCAAAGAAAGATCTCCATACAAAGACTCGTACACAAATATTCAAATTCGTACTTGTACAAAATATGTTTTGTAATAAATCATAAAACTTATTTGTCATTGTTCAGAAGTGAAAACAACCCAAATACCCATCAAGAGGTGAATGGATAAACAGACCATGTAATGAAATACTACTTCATTCCAATAAATGAATGAACTATTTATTCATTTAAATGAGCAATAAAAATTAATGAACTTTTAATACACTCTTCAAAATGTATGAATCTCAGGACAGTTATGCACAGTGAAAGAAGTCAGACATTGTATGAATCTATTTGTATGGAATATCCTGAGAAGACAAATTTATAAAGACAGGAAGTTGGTGAGTGGTTGCCTAGAGCTGGGGATGAGGGTGAAGACTGATTGCAAACACACTTGAGAGAAACTGGAGAATATTTTAAAGCTGGACTTGGGTGATGGATGTACAACATTAAAACAACAACAAAACCCACATGAAATTTAAGAAAAAAATATAAAGGAAAAATAGTTTTGTTCTTGAGGGCTGGATGCTCTCAATAGAATAGAGAGGCGGAGCACTAGCTCTAGCTCAGAGATTCTCCCCGTGTTGTGCAGGACATTAGCGTGTGGCACGGAGCTTTAAAGCATGCAGTGCCCGAGTGCTTAGTCAAAGGCCCTGACCTCTTTTCCCTTAGAATGTCAAATAAAAAAAATGACAACAGCTAACGCAATAGCCATCCGGTGTGAATAAATCAAAATTATATGTATTTTTTGTGTGTGCCATAGAATTTTAGTTTGTGTGTGCTATGACACGAAAAAAGGTTGAAAATCGCTGCCCTAGCCAGTTAGCCTGATGTGACTCGGGTTAACAAGAGGGACAGGCCAAACCTCCACAGGGACCCAGCCTGTTGTGAGAGTCAGAGTCCCCTGGAGGGGACTGGGTGATTTGCCTGCTGAATTGTACTGAAATTCTGTGTGCCCTGAACACTGTACCCAGAGGACATCACGGGGATTTGCCCCGTTTTTCTGTGGAAGCCTTGCTCATATTTTTAGTGGAGTAACTATCCTGAGCTTACTGATTATATCCATCAGATATTGAGGTCTTATCTGGCACATCTGAATACAGATTTTTTTGAATGAGCTGGCTAAAAAATCCAAAATATCACCTTGGTTAGGAGGGTGTCTAAGAGGGAAAGAAACCACATTGTTCCAACTGACAAGCTTTAAATGTATTTTCTACCTTAGGCAGTTCTGGAGAACAGCCTCCCCTCTGAAATCTCCAGCAAGATCAACCTTGTGGACCTAGCAGGCAGGTAATTAGGATTTCAAAGCCAGGAGGGAATGACTTCTTGGCAATGACCTTGTTCTTGTCCATGTTGTAGGAACTAAACCCGTTTCCACCTTTTTCATATTTCATTAATCCTGAGGAAGTTATAAAAGAACCAAATTCTTTAAATGCTAAATTAAGAAATTATAGCTGCTAGGAGTCCAGAGGTCCACGCCAAGGGTTCTCAGTCTCAGCTGTCCACTGAAGTCACTGGGATCGTTGGAAATTCCCAGTGCCGAGGCTGTGCATTAAACTAGCTAAATCTGTGCTAATACAGTTAGTGTACATGCGTGTTATGTGTAGCTGCAAGTACGACACATAACACCGTGGCAGCCAAGATAGAAACAAGTGTAATGAATTAAGAGTGACAGTTCATTACAAGATGGGAACTTTTTTTTTCTGGAGTTCAATTCTGAAAGGAATTTATTATGTGGGTCTTTTTCGTGATGTGCAGCATTAATGGGTAGTGCCTTTGAGCAATATCATAAGGAGAGTGTTGTCTTGTTTGCTTTTGTTTTTCTGTTTACTGACTGTTTTAGTGAAAGAGCTGACCCCAGTTACTGTAAGGACCGGATTACCGAAGGAGCCAATATCAACAAGTCCCTTGTGACTCTAGGAATTGTCATCTCCACCTTAGGTATTTGGCTGGTGACGGGTCATCAGAGAGGGAGGGGGACTTTGGAGAATCACTTGTGTATTTTCCTTTTGTCAAAATGGGGTAGATACAAGGTTCTTTGTGATATAGTTCCCTTCTGGTTTGGGACATCAAAATAAGTATCTGTCTGTGTTTTAGAACACAACTTGGCCATCATCCCTGTACTCCCATTTGAGAAAGGAAGAGACTGAAAAATTGTGTGGCTCAAATATTCCATGTCCTGAGTCCAAAGTCTAATTCAGGGCTCAAAGCTTAAGCATCCTGTCGTATTCAGAAGTGGACTAAGGAGTGTGGTACATCAGTCTCTACTTCCCAACCCTTGTTTTCTTTTAATGCATTTGTGTCAGAATTTCTTTTTTCTTCCACTTTTATTATGTTTTGATTTTAAGCCCAGAACTCTCAAGTTTTCAGCAGCTGCCAGAGCCTCAGCAGTGTGACCAGCACCGGCGGTGACAGCGGGATCCCTGGCTCTCCTTCCGGGACCAGTGGTGGAGGGGGCCCCTCCCGGAGGCAGTCTTACATCCCGTACCGCGACTCCGTGTTGACCTGGCTGCTGAAGGACAGCCTCGGAGGCAACTCCAAAACCATCATGGTTGCCAGTGAGTGGCATGCCGGGGCTGGTTCTGTGCTGGGACTGGTACTGTGCCTCCGAGAGAGGGCCGTGGCCACCTATTTCATCATGGGTCTCTTAGAGGGCTTGGCTTGTTTTTTAACTTTCTCCTTGTGCCTCAGCCGTGTCTCCTGCACACACTAGCTACAGTGAGACCATGAGCACGCTGAGATACGCCTCCAACGCCAAGAACATCATCAACAAGCCACGGGTAAATGAGGTGAGACCGTCACTGGAAGTCCTGACATGTTATACTTTACACAAAGCTCTGTCTCATTCCCCTCATCAATGTCTTTCTTTTTGTACTCACCCCAACTTGCCAACCTTGTTCTCTGAATGATAAGGGAGTGAAATTTTTCTAGTGTTATATTCTTCTCTCATATCTCTATTGACTTTGTTTATAACCTTTTATGAATATTTTAGATACTTCTCTAAGACCTAACATCCTTGGTGTACTATTGTCACTCAAAGACAAAATTACTTAAAATTTTCTGTATTTACTGATTTTATTCTGAGTTTATGTTGATGTATGCTTATATATTTTTTCTATGCTAATTGTCATTCTGCCTCTGTTTTGGGCTGAAAGAGGCATGTAATAAATTCATTAGTTTTGAATGCTGAATAATAGAATGTTCCAGAAATTCCTTACCTGCGTCGCAGTGTCAGTGACCGGCTGCAGAGCAGGGATTGCAAACCAGTGGCCAGGCAGATCTAGCCCATCTATGGACTATTTTAAAAGGCAGTGGAGTTAGACACTAAGCTTAGCCGCGACAGCGAAAGGTTAGCACCGGCTGCCTGTACACGCCCCGCCTTTGTGTCACCTGCCTGCCCTCCTGCTCTAGGACAGTGACTCAAACTTCAGTGGGCGTCCAAACCTCCTGGAGGGTTCATTGAACCACAGCTGGGCCCCAGGCCTCAAGAGTTTCTGATTCAGTAGGCGCTGGGTAGGGACAGAATTTGTATTGCTAACAAGTTCTTAGTCCTGGGACCGCATTTTAGGAAGACTGCCCCAGAAGGTGGTCCAAAGGAGGGATCTGCTTCTTCTGAGGTAACCACACACAGCATCTCATAGCTGTTTGGGGCCTGCTCTCATCAGTGTGACTGCGTTCTCTGTGTTGCAGGATGCAAACGTAAAGTTGATCAGAGAACTCAGGGAAGAGATAAGAAGACTGAAAGCCTTGCTGCTGAGCTTCGAACTGGTACGCAGGCGGCCAGAACGCGCGTGTGTTCGGGCCCCTTTTCTCCTGCATAGACGCTAAGCCCCGCTCTGCTGTGTTCTCAGTTAAGTGACCCTGGTGGAGCAGGGGCAGTTGCAGAGGCAGGAAGGGGTCGCTCTGACTTACTGTGTAGTTTCCAGGGGGTGGACATCCTCTCACTGCATCGTCTCTGTTGTCCAGAGGGCATGTGCCTGTCTGGCCCTTATTCCGTGTGTGGGCAGACATGGGGCTGGGCTCCTCCAGAAAAAGCTCTCTGAATTCACCTTCTTTGTGCCACTCTGAGCCCAAATACTTAGACTTCTGATTTGTTTATGATTTTAAAGACAAAGTCTTTCCCTTGTCTGTACCTTGTCTTCCCTCGCAAGAGTAAGGTGGGACCCACCGAGCACATCTCTCTCTTTGTGCAGAGAAACTTCAGTTCACCGAGTGAGGAGGAGGACGGAAACCTGCAGCAGCGGGTCCTCCAGAACGAATCGAAGGTGGGTGTGTGAGGTGGGCCCGGCTGTGCTCCATACCACCCTCCATCACGCCCGGGCCAGGGCTGCTCCCTCGCCAGGACACAGGGGTTCTGTCCAGTTTGGAGACAGGTTTTGTCGCCACTGAGTCTAGAATGGGGAGTCATTTGTCTGGAGGGCTGTTGACCAGCCTTCTATTCTGTTTCCTCAAAAATTCCTGGTAACTCCCTTTGGATAGTGACAATAGCTTAGAAAATAAAACATGCTCTCCAGTCAGTGAGTCAACCAACCAACATGCATTCACCAGGCACCAGATAGCTCACGATGCTGCAGAAGACATCGTGTAGCCCCTGCACACAAGGGCTTGCAGTAGAGTTGGAAACACATACAGAGAATGGTTAAACATAAACTATATGACTTAGATGAAAGGGCTTAGAGAAGGAAGGAAGAAAGCATGATGGCTTGGAATTTTCAGGGCAGGCATTATATTGCTGGAGCGAAAAGTCAGACATCCTGAACTAGACCTCGACGATAGTAGTTTGTTAGGTATGTAGAAGGGGTAAGGAATTTGGGCCGAGAGAGGGAAAGCCTGCACTAAGGCATGGAACTGAGAGAATGAATGGTGTCGGAGGCCACGCGGCAGCTCACAGGAGGAGAAAGACTAAGCTGGCTGGAACGGTGCTTCTGGCAGAGAGTAGTGGAGGTAAGGTGAGGGCCATGTTAGGAGTTTGTTTGAACTTGACATAAACAGGATTGATCACAGCTTCCTGAACCAGGCCAGTGACATAATAAAGGAGGATAGTGGGGAAACCAGTAGGACAGTTGTATGTAGGACGGGTTGCAGCGAGGGAAGCCTGGAAGCAGAGGGACCGCCCAGGAAAGGGACTGCTGTTGTGACCCCCTGAGAGCGAGGACGAGGCATTTTGGGAGGTTAGATTAAGTGGTGATTCCCAGAGACACTTAAAAGGAAAGAAGCGACAGGCATTATTTGGTGACAGGTTAGATTTAGATCTTGCAACCAAAGCCTCGATATCCAATCTTCTGTTACATCATCCTGTGTGTTATTAAAGTCACCATACTTTATTTGTTATTAAAGTACTGGCTATGTCAACATTTTGTTACTCAAACTAAACTCTAGGACTGTATTCAGAAGCTTCTCAATTCTGTGTTTAACCATACGTTCTGATTTGGGGTTCAGAAAATATTTTATTGTTGTTATTTTATTACTACATGGTGTTTCAGACCAATTTCATATAGTTCTCTCTGAGGAGACTCCTCTTGTGCCTTGTGGTGTTCGAACCACGTATACACGTGTACATTAGAGCTCGGTGTGCTGCACTTGAGAAAGAAGAGTTGGGTCACAAAAGGATTCCCGGTGTGGCTCTTATGGAAGGGGATGGGGAGAGGGGAATTATAGATGTCTAACATCTCAATCAGTTTTTAAAAATAACATTTATGGCCCCGGCTGGTGTGTCTCAATGGATTGGGTGCCTGTGAACCAAAGGGTCACTGGTTAGATTCCCAGTCAGGGCACATGCCTGGGTTGTAGGCCAGGTCCCTGGTATGGGGCACATGAGAGGCAACCACACAATGATGTTTCTCTCTCTCTTCCCTTCTCTAAAAATGAATGAATGAATGAATGAATAAATAAATAAATAAAATTTATGGCATTTTCCCAATTATAAAACTAATACATGCTTGTTGCAGAAAATGTTTGAAAATAACATTTCTGGAGGAGTTTCTATTTTTGAAAGTAACAGTTGCTTCTTGAAGAAAACTTTAAAAACACCGGGATCTCACAGAGGGGGTACAAGGGCCCCTGTGGGGCTTTCAGCAGTAACAGTGAGGAGAGTCAGGAAGTGATACGCATGCAGGGAGGGAGCAGGGTGACGTCTGAACTTGGTCGGCTTCTCATGCTGAGTCTCTGAGGTCACTTCCTCCCTCTCTGCAGATAGACCGGCTGACCCAGGACTGGGCCCAGAAGTGGGATGAGTGGAAGGCCCTGGTGGAGCATTACAGAGTGGGCATCAACAAGCGGAGGGCTGGGGTTGTCATTGACTCCAGCCTGCCACACCTAATGGCCTTGGAGGAGGACGTGCTCAGCACAGGCGTCGTGCTCTATCACCTCAAGGTAAGTAGGCAGGGCACTCCTCTCTTGCTGAGCTACTGGCCCCAGAGGTCAAGGAGGGGAAAGCCAGGGGCAGCAGCTGTGCATCAGTGAGCTTGACGGATGCCACCGAGCCACCTTCAGGTTGCCCTCAGGAAAATGGGCCAGCCAACCAGTTGCGGGCTGTTTGGCTTTTGTATAGATAGAGCAGAAAACTGGAAATCAGAACAATCATTTTTCTTTAGCGACTGCTACTGTTTGCTTTTGTTCTCTGAGCCCTATCTTCTCATTTTAAAATGATAATGATGCTGCTTGTATTCCTTTTCTGGCTTCCTGAAACACAGGCATGCAGGCATGGAGGTGAAATCCTAACCTTACAGCACCATCAGTGCCCATGCAGGCTGCTCACAGGTGGCTAAAGGGGGAATTGTCCCCGACTAGGCTCACTGGGGAACAAAGAGAGGAGAGGAAGTAGGTAAAGGAAGCCTAGAGAAAGCATGGGGGAGAGTCCAAAGAGCTGGAGGGGCTGGGGGCAGTGGGGACAAAGTGTGACATGCAGCCACCTAGAAAGAACAGAATGAAGTTAAGGCCTTCCGCGAAGGACCTGGCTCTCCTGGTTCTTCATCCTCTGGAGGCCAGGTCCTCACATCTCAATGAGGCCGTTTGAGAGTCCGTGACTCACGGTAGATAGAGTCTGATATCCTGTCCTCCCCAAGAATGGCCTGCTGTGGAAGGACCATCTCTACAGATGGCAGAACATACTTTACATGGCCAAAATCCCTATGCTCACTGAAAATCCAGTCTTCATTCTCAGAGTTGTCCCCAGCTGACATTTAGAAGGAGCAGAGTTTAGGGGGGATATGTAATGTGCTACTATCCCTGGAGAAATGAGACTCCTAGTGCTGCAGTGCATGTGGTAGTGAGATGTCAGCAAAGCTCACCATGTTTAGAAAGTCTCGCCCTGGCTGGTGTAGCTCAGTGATTGAGCGCGGGCCTGCAAACCAAAGGGTTGCTGGTTCAATTCCCAGTCAGGGCACATGCCTGGGTTGTGGGCCAGGTCCCCAGTTGGGGACATGAGAGAGGCAACCACACATCAATGTTTCTTTCACTCTTTTTATCCCTCCCTTCTCCTCTCTCTAGAAATAAATAAAAAATAAGATCTTAAAAAAAAAAAAAGAATGTCTGTTCTTAGGATAAGCCCTGAGGGAACTGTCAGAGACTAAGCGTCTCAGACAGAAAGTTAAACTTATTTCCTGATACCCAGAATATAAATCTCAGTGAAATGCCTCAGGCAGTAGGGGCTGTTACCTTATTAACAGATCTAAATGCCAAAGGCTGTGGATCCTTCTGATTGTCAGAACCACAGGGAAAGGTTGGAAGTCAGGAACCAAGTGGATTAAAATGGTCAGTATTTGAATAGAATTGACCGCATATATTGATTGCATGTGGAGTAAGCAGATGAAGCTAGAAATCAGGTGGTAGAGCCTTGGGGTACATGCAGAGAGTTAAAGGTCATGGCCAGCCTCATCTGAATGTAGAAGCGCTGGCTTTCCTTGCTGATTCAGTGCACTCACGGCATGGCAGTCCCTGCTCCGTGCATTTCCAATGAACCTGGGCAATGGGGTTCCACAGGTGGTGCAAATCCTGCCATTTTGCATTTTTTGTACCCATTTCCCCCTTTTGTTTGTTTACACCTGGTTTGGGTAGTAGTATAACAGTAATCACTCAGGATTCTGTTTTGTTTGTTTGTTTGCTGACTCGATTACAGATCTGGAACTAGTCCTTGGCAATGTGCTGGGAGCTATTTCCCCTTGGGCTGCCTCAGCAGGAGCCTTGGGAGGGGAGGGGCCCGGAGAAAGGGTGCAGGGAGCACAGGTTACTGGTATCCTGGACTTGGTCCTCCCGAGTGCCTCTGTGCCACTGACCTTCCCCACATGAAGAGGCAGTGGGGCAGCAACCACAGGCGCCAGTTCAGTCCCTGTGAAACAGATGCCATCACGTTTTTTGGTCATTTTTGCCCTGCAGGTCTAGAAGGTCTGATGTGCTGTGGCCTTTATCCTTTGGGGAGGAATGTGCCTCTTCATCAGGGCTGACCCTGAACCCACATGAGGGGTCTGGACCCCTTTCCCTTGATCCTGTCTGGTGGTGCCTGGAGGCCAGTGTCCATCGGCTGGTGTGAGGCTTGTTGGCTGAGCAGAAAAGGCTGGGCTCTGGCCGTCTGTGGGTGTGTGTGCGCAGGGGGCACAGAGCCTCATTCATCACTTCCAGGAGTCTTGCTTCTCACGGGCAGCTTTGGAGGGACTATAGGGATCACCGCTCTGGCTGCCAACAGTGAAGCCTGGTGTGGAACTCTGTGACCCGTGAGCCTCGGGTGCTGGGGAGGTGGTGTGTGGGGTTGGAAGAGCAAGGCTCAGGACCCAGAAAGACCTGACGTCTAGGCAGAGCTCTCCTATTTAGTTTGTGGCTTCCTTGGGCAACTTGTCCCATCAGCTTCAGATTCCTTGTCTATTAAAGGGGAATAATAATACCCACATTTGGGGTTGGTAAGGGTTAAATAAGAGATGTCTAGAAAGCATTGGTGCAGTGCCTGCAACACAGGGAATGGTTATTCAGTGGGTGGTAAGTTCGCATCTGAACTCAGCATCTCTGTCACGGTGTTGCTGCCTTCTCAGACAAGGCCACATGGTCCACAATGCCGCAGTCCAAGGCCAAAAGGCCTCGTCTTCTACTAACCTTGTGATTCATGCATGCTAACTCCCATTTCCCCTCCTCTCTCATCCTCTCTTCCAGTCCTTTTCGATTCTAGATGTGCTTTTCTCCTATTCGTGCTTTACCCTTCTTACAATCTGGTGTCTGTTAAACTTCATCTGCGGACCAAGAAGGTAAAAATCCTGAGCTTCCATACTCCTTCATAGAGCACGTGTGTCTGAGACTGCCTGGCCTGAACTTGGACCAGACGAACCTTTGTGCCTGTGGGAAAGCCATTCTGTGCGCCCACTTCCTTAGACCAAAGAACCTCTGACAGGTGGCTATGGCCGTTCCCTAGCTTCAGGCTGTGGAGTTTGCCAACCTTCGTTGGGCTTTGCAGAGATCTGGTGCTGCTTTGTCACGTAGTTTTGCCCTCACCTTCTCAGGGCCTTCTCAACTGCAGAGTGGGTGGGCAGGAGCCTGGGCCAAAGCGGAGAAGCCGTGCGGCGGGACGGCTGGGTGGGTTGGGGGTGACAGTGGTAACACTCAGAAGGGCGGGCTCTCCTTTTGGGGCAGGCCTGTCTCCCTTTTTAAGCTCATTTAATTGGCTTTGTTTTTCCCTGTAGGAGGGGACAACAAAAATAGGAAGGATTGACTCAGAACAGGAACAGGACATCGGTGAGTGACAAGCATGTGGTCTGATACTTGGCGCCAGGCAATCCTGCCTGACAGGATTTTTCAGAGGAAGCCGATGGTGCTATGAGGGGAAGGGCTCTCTGAAGCCCTCAGGGGCTGGTCCTTTTGCTGCTAGGCGGGGGGACCATGGCTGTGTGTCTGGGACTGATAGGAGGGGACCCACACGCGGGAGGATCCAGGTCTGGGTGGTTTCAGCTGGTGGCTCTTTCTCTTTCCTCAGGATATGAGATCTTCTAGATGTGGGTTCCAATCTCATGGGTAGAACGAAGGAGGTGTTTCCTTGGGTCGCGTCTCCACCCAGGTGACCCCCACCTTCCCTTAGTCTTGCAGGGTCAGTGGATCGAGAGAGACCACTGCACCATCACCAGCGCCTGTGGGGTTGTCGTCCTGCGGCCTGCCCAGGGGGCCCGCTGCACAGTCAATGGCCGGGAGGTCACTGCCTCCTGCCGTCTGACCCAAGGTAGGACTGTCCACAGCCCTGTTTATGCCAGATGAGTAAGGACCATCTCCTGTCTCATGAGTGAGACCAAGAGGGCTCAGTGAAGCAGCCTTTAAAGATGGGACACCCAGCCCCTGCACCCAGAGATCTGAAGGTTTCCTAAAACATCTTCCCATAAATGAAGAAGCCCTAATTGCTGGCCCCCAGAGAATGACACTGAAACTGGTCCCTGTGTTTGTTAGCTCTGTGTGCTTGGGAAAGTCTCCGAGCCTCAGTTTCCCCATCTGTAAAATAGGGATAATAATAGGATTAAATAGCAGGAAACATGAGGGTTGGATGAGCTAACCATGTAATGTCGTTCTCAGTGGGTTCTTGGCACTTCATTAGTGCTCGTGGTCCGCGGTCCTGTCACTGTTACAGTCAATATTAATCTATTCAAATTCTGTCTGTCCTTTGAGGCCGAGCATTCACCCTTCCTCCCATGAAGTATCCCCTGACTGCTCCACCTGGCATCCATCTTGCTTCTCCTTGGAGTACCGGACTCTTCCTGCTCAGTTCATTAGTTTGATACATATGCTGTGCAGTATCCAGTGAATACATATCTTTCTGACTGAGCTAGTTATCCACTTGTTGAGGGCAGGACTTTTGTCTCGCAGAACAGCGCCCTGCATGTAGTGTGTACCCAGAACGGGAGCTGGGGACTGGACGCTCACGTGTCTCTGTGCCACAGGAGCCGTCATAACCCTGGGAAAAGCACAGACATTCCGGTTCAGCCACCCCGCCGAGGCCGCCGTCCTTCGCCAGAGAAGGCAGGTCAGCACGCTGGCTGCCCTAGTTCTCCTTTCTGGGGGAGGAGTCTGGGCTCGGCTGGTTCCCTTGGGAGGGCAGGGAGGGCTGACGACCGCAGCCCCACTGTGCTTTCTCCCTTGTCCCCAGGTTGGAGAGGCTGTTGGCGGCAGTGGCTCTTTGGAGTGGCTGAACTTGGATGGAGATGTCACTGCCTCCAGGTTGGGTCTCTGCCCTTCACTTTGGAAAAAAAGGTGAGAAACAGCTGCTCGTTCTGCTGTAGAACCTGCTAGGTTTTCTTCTTAGGCCATTACAACGTGGAGCCGGGAGGAGGTGAGTGTAGCAGCCAAGGTTTGAATGAAGCTGGTCTGAACTAACTTGGCAAGTGAATTGAAGACGCCGAACCAGCTGCTCAGCTGACGGTTGGCAGAGAAGTGTCTTGGCCCTCACTTACTTCCCCTTCAGTGTTGCAGCTTTCCTCAACACCGAGGAAGTGTAGCATTTGTTTCCTACAGCCACGGTCAACGAGATTCAAATGTGCATTTGCAGTGATACAGCTCCTGAACGTGCCTCCCTGTGACCTCCTTAAATTCTGGGCTGCCCGTGTGTGAGCTTAGGGGGGTGTGTCAGTTGGCTCCCAGGACTCTGGCTTTCTCTGAGTCTTAAAGGTGTTGTGGAACTGACAATCCTTCCCCCCCCACCCCGCCTAAAACGAAGTGTCCAGAACTATGCATACCAAGGGCTGGAACCCCAGGAACGATGTGAAAATACCTTGGGGTTCTGCCCTCTCACACCCCCTTCACCAGTGTCGTGACTGTGAAGCAGGGAGTCAAGTTTGACATGTGTGTTTCCTTCTCCATAGCCATTCTTCAGCCATTTCTTCGTAGAATTCCCTCCCAGATCCAGATCCTGTGGGTCTGGTACTGGGAACAGTGGGATCCTTCTGTTCCCACAGCCCAGGTGGCTGCTGCCTTGGCGCTTTCCTTTAGAAAATGTCGGGGATCTGGTGCCAGCACCAGGGGCACAGGGCTCTGGGAGGTGACAGCTCTTGGTCCCCTGGTCCTGTAGAGGCCTCCAGCTGCTCGTTCCTCATACCCGGCGAATTTAATGGCAGCTGGAGGTAGCCGTGGGTCTGACCGTGGTGGTGAGGGATGCTGGATACGGGGTGCAGGTGCTCTAGTGCAGGGAGTGCAGACCGCGGGCTGGTCCTCACAGGTGGGCTGCCGAGGGCTGCAGGACGATGCACCAGAGTCTAAGGGAGGACGGACCCAGTGTTGAATGACCGAGTGGGCCTGAGGGGTGGCAGGTAAGGTGGGAGAAGTGACACAGGGTGAAGTGTGTAAAGGCCAAGATGGACTCAGGACTGAGGCTGGGGCTCTTGACTTGTCGGCATGGCCCTCCCTGTTAGTGGTGAATCTGGGAAAGGAGGTCTTGTGTTAGGTAAGATTTCCATCGGAAAGACGCACTGAAGATCTGTTTTTCCCAGAGTTTCGAGGCTTACAGAGAACGGCTCTACAGCTGAAAGAGCCGAGGGTGGTGGGGCTGACAGAAAAGCGTGTGGCCTCAGGCAAGTTACTGAGTCACTGAGCCTGTTTGCTCCCCTCTCCCTCCCAGATCCTTGTGACACCGGTGGAAGGAGCTAGAACTTGCGGAGTGCTTTGCCAAGTACCCGACAGCCCACAGCTCTGCTTCAGGGAGGCTCTCAGGGGGAGCTGTCCGGGAATGCGGCCTCCTTCCCTGTCCTCCCCTCTCACCCCAGCTGTCCAGAGAGCGCTGTCTCCTGCCTTGCTAAGGTCTTCTTGGGCTCTCTAGCCCCACTGGCTCTGATGTGACCTTTCAATGACACGGAGAATGCACCCTCTCATTCAGTGAGGACGGGAGGGATTTGAGAACCAAGGCCTCCCCCACTCGCTGCCTCCACTCAGCAGCAGCAGCAGCAGCTCTAGGAGCCTGTGGGCTGGGCTGGTCCCGCCCAGACCAGAGCCAGCATCCTGTGCCAGGCTTGGTGGAAGTGGGGTGCGGGCTCCAGCCTGTGACTGGGCAGAGGGACTGGAGAGCCGTCTGACTGTGGAGGAAGCCGCATGTTGTCCGTTGGGTTCCCAGTTGGCTTGTGGCTGTATCTCCGAGAGTCTCTCCTCTGCTCTTAGGTGGGGCTGCTGCCAAACCTCTCCTTGTCTGAGGCTTTTTTCCCTTCCTTTTTCTCTCTGGAGGAGGACTTGTGGGGAGCCTGCGAAGCTGGAGCTGACTCCAGAGTCAGGGAAAATTGGCTGGTCTGCCCCCTTTCCTCTTGCAGCAGGGATCTGGACCAGAGAGGAATTTGTCCTTGAAATTTATGCCCATATTCTTTGCCATTTCCCCTTTGGAATTTTGGGAGATTAACCTTAAGTGCCCAGTGGCTGGGAGACACTGTCATTGCTGCCACCGCTCCTGCTGCCTTAGTGAGTAGACACTGCTGCAGTCTGCTGCAGAAGCTGTCTGGCCCTGAGGCGGCCAGGACGGTGCCGTGCAGTGCTGGCAGGAGGGCGCCGGGCAGCAGCGGGGGGAGGCAGGAGCCACCCAAGAAGGAGGGCGGCCATCTGAGACAGCCAGAGGGTCTTTGGCTGGCAGGTACCTGAAGGCTCACCCTTGGTAACCTATCCAGACATGTAGCATAAGGTTGGTATTTTCTTTTTCATTTGCTTTTTGGAACCTTGGCTGACGTCCTTAGCAGAGGAGCCCTCTTCTGTCGGATGGCGTGTGGCACCTTTGGTGGAGGTGCAGTATCTGCCTCGGTCCTCCCGGACTGCCTCTCCTCACTGGTGCCGATGCTGCTGTTGCTGAGAAGGGAAGTGTACCAGGGTCTCAGGAGGGGACTGGCAGCTGCCCCTTTCCGGGAGGAAGGCTAGAGGGAGCTCTCCTCTGTTCACAGAGACTGTGAAGGAGGGTTTGAGGTGGCGGAGGAGGATGCTACAGTACATACTCTCAGGGAATTCACAATAAAGACTCCTGCCCGCCCCCTTGCCCCTGACGGCCTGGAGCTTCGCTGGGTTCGTCTAAGCCCTCAGATAGGCAGCTCACACCTCAGCCATGTCCGTGGTCAGACGGATTTTGGAGCAGCCCTGCAGCCATGACACGCGTGTAAAATGTTTCCCATTAACTGCTTTTTCTATTTGTGTGCCGTTTTTTTTTTTTAATTCCAGTTGCTATCTCTAGCCTTTTGCCTCGCATGTGTCAGAGTGTCTCTCCTCTTTTCTGTACACTCCACTGTGTGTGTTTGGCCTTCTGCCCACAGCACTCAGTGCCAGCCTCCCAGTGTGCTCGCTCGCTCAAGCATCCGGCCTGCCCTGGGCCTTGGACTCACTGCGGGTTGGATCACTCACAGCGTCCGTCAGAGAAGACACTGGTGTGCGTCAGTCCCCACCCGCGCACCTCCCCATCCATCTGTTTGCCCTCCAGCCCATCCGTCCTTCACTGTCCTCCTCAATCTATATTCAGAAATCTTTTTTTTTTTCTCAGACAGAGGCAGCAAACGGCCTGTAAAGGGCCAGATGGTACTTTACGCTTTGCAGAACTAACAGTCTCTGCTGCAGCTGTTCAACTCTGCCAGCGTGGCTGGTGCACAGGCAGCCCAGACAACACGCAAGTGAACAGTGCCGCAGACACTGAGCTGGGATCAGGACCGAGGGCGGCTGCATTCAGGCTTTTTGTGAGCCTCTGGCGGATGCCGGCCCATCCCAACCGCGCCCCCTCCCACCACCACCCTGGAGCACCTTTAGGGACCCGAATGACAGGGATGGAGTGGCACTGCAGACACAGCATGTGAGGCCCTGTCTAGGAGGCTGTGCGGGACCCAGGGCGGGGGTCACAGGCAGGTGGAGGCTGTCAGTCTTCAGAAGACGGCTCACTCATCCGTGCTCATGGAGGAGCCTGGTGGCAGAAAAAAGGATGATAGTAATCTAGAATTCTTTTTAAACTTTGTGTTATGGAAACTTCCAAATACAGGACAAGTGATCAATTCATAGCTAATCTTGTTTCATTTACATCCCCTCTCACTCTTCCCCTGCCCCCCCCCCCCCCCCCGCCAACTGAATCTAAACAAACCCCAGACAGTTTCACCAGAAAATGCTTCGGCATCTACCTCTGAAAGGTATGCCAGAGTCTAAAACTCTGGAACCCCGTCCAGGCTGGTTCTCACGGGCGTGGTGCTGGCGCCTCCCACCGGGCTGCCCGCAGAGGGTGTGTCTGCTCGGGCTGGGGGGCGCGGCCGCGGACACAGGCCCACCCCAGACGTCCCGTCCCGCAGTGTCCCTGGGGCTCCGGCTCCACTTTCTTTCCAGCAGATACCTTTTTTTTAAGGACAAAGTTTCTTGATGTAGTTAAAATATTTTTCTTTTGTTGTTCTTTTTAAAGCTGCTTTACTTTCCCTATTATTTTCTTTAACCAAAATGTATTTGTGTTTCTGCTGAACCCACAGTCTAAGAATGTGCTGGTCAGCCCCACACTGCTCCTGCACTGTGACATCAGGAGCTGCCTGTGACACCGCGCCTGTGTGTCCCAAGTTGCTGGAAGCCAAAGCCCTCTCTGCCCTGTCAAATTCAGGGACTCTCTCAGAGGGGCTTAAATGGCCACTGGTTGGTACTGAGCTGGGTTTGCATTTCCCCTGGGTCACCTCGGCCCCTCTGTGACAGGACAGAGCTGCGGGAGCAGAGTGGCGAGGACCACCGGCTATCCAGGGCCAGAGAGACGCCGCCCAGGACCAAGGCTCGGTGGCCACAGCAGCACTACGTGGGGGATTTCAGGCAGCAAATCCTAGCGGGACACAATAGAGCCAAAAGGGACCCGGAATTTGACCAGGCACGCGTCACCTGGCAGGTTAAAGACAGTAGGTACCCTGTGCTCCCAACATCTGTTCCTTGTCACATCTCTTCATGTTCTTGCTTCCTCAGCCTTCTGTGTTCTCTCCTTTGTTTTCTTTGTGATACGATGGAATCTTGGGTATTAGGTGTCCTCTCCTCTCTTTTAGAGGTTCTTACAAGGGGCTGGAAACAAAAATGAGGAAGCAGCTTCCCATTGGCCCCCACAGTGATGGCCCTCTGCTCACTGCTTCTCACGCACCCATTGGTCCGTGCTTTGCCTCCTGCCCTGGCACATGCCCACTGCTGTGCCGAGGCCTGGGGCTCCATTCCCTGGCCAGCCCTCTCACTCTGCACAGGTCCATGGCCAGAGGTGTCTGAGTCCAGGCAGCCACGGGCAGGGAGGGAGGAGCTGACCTTCTCTCAGAGTGTTTTTGTTCCCAGACCCGCAGTGGCAGCTCCGAGAAGAGACCTGGCTGGCCAACTCGCCGCAGCAGCAACAGAAAGACCGGGTGGCAGAGAAAGAACCTGAGGCTTCTGTGCCAGCTGATTCTTGGCTTCAGACAGATCCTGAGACTCCACCGTGCCCTCTGGCCCGAAGCCAGAAGAGGGCAGTGACGTGTCAGCTCCTTCGGAGACTAGCTCATCGCGCCTCTGGGCACAACATCAGGCGAAAAAAGGTCTGGTTCCAGCTAGAGAGAATCATCAAGAAGCAGAAGCTGCTGGAGGCCCACAAGAGACTGGAGCCCCTCAAGGCACCATGCTGGCTCCAGGATGGTTGTCCCCAGGAGTCTCCACACCAGGCCCCCGGCTCTGATGCCATGGTCCCAGGCCCTCAATGTGGAAGCAAGTCGACAAGTTGCAGCTCTTTGAGCCTCCGAAGGCTCTGCCTCCAGTACTTGCCCCAGCTCCGCAGGTACAGCCAGCAGGTGTCCCCTGGGAGCACTGGCGGAAGTTTGTGGCCTGGCCCAGGCCGGGCTCTTTCCTTCCCAGTGCGTCAGCTTCCTCAGCTTCCTCCGTCTGTAAAAGGGAAAGAGGTGTTTGCTCCTCTCCTCCTCCTCCTCTGTAGTTGCCATCTCCTAAGACTCAGGCTTTTCCCTTCTTCCACCTGGAGCGGCAGCTCTTGCTTCCTTCATGCTGTCTTCTGTGTGAGCTTTATTTCCATCGTTAGACCCCGACGACCACTTACCTGTCCTCGTGTATTCCAGCCCCACCTCCACTCATCTTGCCTCAGATCAGACTGTGGCCACACATTTCCTCCTCCTCCTCCCCACCTGGCCTGCCACCTCAGGTGAGCTTCCTGACCCCGCCTCCTAACCAACTATTTTTCTGACTGCCAGGTCATCCTGGTCTCTTTTCTCTTTCACTCCTCACCACCAGTCAAGGTGGGGGCGGGGGGGGCGTTGTGGGTGCTGTGTTCTCTCCCAGCCTGTGTGGCACAGGGCATTGTGTCTACTGCTTTACACCCTCTGGGCCCAGCACAGGCCTTGCCCGTAGTGGGAACACTATTAATGTCTGTTGGTCAACTCTCTGGTCTGTAGGGTAGTAGGCAGCTTTAAAAAAAACCAACTTTTTATTATGAAAGAATTTTAAGCACACATGAAGTAGAGAGAATAATACCTAAGACTCATATCCAGCAAGTACCAAGATTTACCAGGCTTCCTGTATCTCTCCTCCTTCCTTTTCCCATGAAGTATTTCAGAGCGACTCTAGACATCGGGTTGGGTTGATGCTACATCAGGTATACGCTTCTGGGACATAAGGACTCTTCTTATAACCACACTGTCATTGTCACACGGGACGAAATTAGCATTGACTGTTTGATATTGTCTAAGCCTCAGCCATGTTCAAATGTCTCTTATTGCTTCATTGATAATTAGTTGTTCAAATTAAGATCTAGATGGATGTACACACTGCATGTGGTTATGTCTTTTAAGCTTCTTTTAATCAGACTTTTGTTTTATCTTTATTTCTTCATATCAGTGATTTGTTGGAGCCAGTCAGTCCTTTAGAACATGCCATGTTGTAGATTTGTCTGTTTGGTTCCTTCAGCGTCATTTAAATTGTTCCTCTCTTCCTCACAGTACCCATTAATTGGGAGCTTTCTTTAAAGGCCTGATTGGATTCAGGTAGTTCAACCTCTTTATAAGACTAAACAAATTGAGGAACAGAGTAAACCTGAGTCCTCTCCAAGAGCTAGGGCGACTGCAGTCCATGGTTTACCTACAAAGCTTTTCTCCAACACCAAAGACTATGGGGACAGTGACAATGGCCTAATTTTTAACCTCTTTCAACACCAGGTAGGTGGGACGTTCTAGTCCCTTTGCCAGCAGGAAGTAGGAACTGCTTGCTTTTCTCAGATGGCTTTCCTTGTCCCCACAGTGTTTTCCTGAATCGGGATGCCGCCACCACGTTATCTCCCATGCCTGGCTCTACCAATCAAACATCAGAGAAAACCCAGTCAGAAGAGTATTTGCCCCAGGCTGCGTCTTACCCTCCAAGGACAGGGCATTTCAGCAAGAATGTTCTTCGTCCCTCAGGTGAGGGGCAGCTCTGCACAGCCAGGGCGGCCTTGGCCAGGAGGGGGGCCTCGGTCCCAGGCTTCACAATGAAATCTAGGTCGTCCAGCAGCCAGGAAATGGAGAGCGTGGGTAAGCAGCCCCACTGGATGGTGCCCCAGGGCTTAGCATGTGTGGGCCAACAGGCTCACAAGCTGAAGCCAAGGGATGAGCCAGAGGCTCTCACCCAGACCAGGAGGGCTAAGGGACTATCAGACTCTGGCCATGGACCAGCAAGGTGGCGAAAAGAAGGGGATATTGAGCCCCACAAGGCTGCTAAAGGAGCCGATTGCAGTTCCTCACATCTCCATGGACCCAAACAGGCAGCTAGGCGTGGAAAGGCAGCCAAGACTTTTTGGGCAGAATCCAAAGCACCTTCTCCAAGTGGGGCATCAAAAGGGCAACAGAGGGCGCCAGCAGCCAGGGTCAGAGACATTACCAAAAAGTCCTCTTGTTTGCTTCGTGGCAGCCCTTTGAAGAGGCAGCACAGTGCAGGTGGCCCAGACACCATGGCCTCGCTCACTGACTCCAGCCCAGCAGCGGATCACACACGGGAAACAGATGGTGATTTGTCAGATGCAGACAGCAGTTACTCAGTGGATTCTCTCTCCTGTGTCTATGCCAAAGCCCTGCCAGAGCCGCTGGGGCCCGGGCCCCGCCAGGGGAAGGAGCGGGACCTCCCAGAGCCAGAGAACACCGAAAGTGACAACAGCCAAATATCTGAGGACTCTCTGGCTGAGAAGGGACACCAAAGCCCCCAGGACAGCCCAGGGGGCAGTTATCTCGCCAGTGGCCACGGCCACCACAGGGCCAGAGCTGCAGCCTCTGTGAGGGGCTTCCCCGCATCTTCAGACAGCGGCCCGTCGGCCCTGGCCCACAGGCGCTTTTCGCTGGACAGCCTGATCGATGCCGAGGAAGAACCGGAGGAAGAACTGGAAAAAGATCCGGAGGAAGATCCGGAGGAAGATCGGCAGAAAGAGCCTTTCTTCACTTCAGCTGATGAGATGCCAACAGAGACTTTTTGGCACCTGCAGACTTCCAGTCTGCCCGTAGTGGGCCAGGAGGCAGTGTGCAGGCCTGGTCCCATCACCCAAAGAGCAGGAGGCAGGCTGGACACCATCCTGCCAATGAGCAGTTCCTTTTGCCTTGATTCCCAACCCCAGCCCCACTGCGAGTGGCCCGAGTCGAAGGGGGAGGCGAGCTCCTCTGAGCAAGCCAACACTCTACCAGGCACGCAGGTTTCAAGAGGGAGCCCACTGTTGTCCCTGGATTCCTGGTTTTCCTGTGACTCTAAGGTCAATCCCAGCAGCCCCCTAGGAATAGTAGGTTCTTTATGTCCAAGTCCCAATGTCCAGGAATTTCAGCCCTGTGGTCGGGAGAGGCCTGGGTGCTGGCCAAGGATGGAAGGACCAGAGCCATCAGGGGCAGAAGCTGTTCTGCACTCCACCTCCACACTGCCCCCAGGTGGTGCTGAGCTGCCCTGCAGTGTAAGAGCTGTGTACACAATTCCTGCTTCCGACACATCCAGGCTGTCACTCTGGGGGTCCTACAGGCTGCTTCAGCCAGGAGCTGGTGGCACCTTTCAGGCCACAGGTGTCCCTGGCACAGCCCAGCAAGGCAACTCTGAAACATCCAATAGCTCTCGTGTGTCAAGCACGCTGGCGGCCTCTGCAGTCTCACTGACTCATGTAGGCAGTGCCTGTGAGAGGGACTGGGCTGCTCTTCAGCAGAAGTACCTCCTCGAACTATCTCATCCTGTTCTGGAGGCCATAGGACAGCCCAGGCCAGCTCTTGCCTCCTTCGAGGAAGACTCTGGTTCCCTGGCCCAAGCTTCTGGCAAAGAAGGAGATAGTCTACTGGCAGTTGGTTCTGGGGTATCTAGCAATTTGAATTTCCACAACTTTCCTATCCATGTATCCGAACATAGGCATTTGAAGTCAGAGAAAGAACAGGTCAGTCTGAGTGTTGAGTTGGAAGGTACTTCAGATTTCTTTACAGCTAGTGAGAAAGAGGTGAGTTACAGCGGAAATTATTCAGCAGACATAGAATCGCTGACTTCTGGAACTGCACATGCACAGGTCTCTGCAGCAGAGCACAAGGGAGCCAATTGCATAACAGAAGCAGGGGCAGTGGAACAGGACAGCTCGGAGGAGTCCTCTCGGAGTGGCGGGAGGAAGCCTGGACTGCTGACTTCCTCCGATGAACAGTTCTTCCTGGAGAACCTTTGCAGTAATGTCACCATAGCCGCCAAAGACCATTGGCCCCAAGGCTGGGCTCCTCTCAGGAAGAACAGTGTAGGCCAGGCAGGCCAGTTAAATCACAACAGACACCAGCCCCGACAGGAGGAGTCAGACTGCCAGGGGAGCTCCAAAGAGGGGGTTGGAAGACACACCAGCCTTTCCTTTGCCTTTCCATCAGGTCCAGAGCTGTACCTCCACTCCGCTCCTTGGAGCTCATTCCCATCCCCCCTGCAGCCGCCTCCCTTGGAGACGTTCTATGTGACCAGAAGCCGGGATGCCTTGACAGAAACCGCCTTAGAGATCCCGGCTTGCAGAGACCCGAGAGCGCCTTCCCCGCCCCCCAGGGAAGCCTGGGGCTTTGGCCGTGACTACCAGTTTCTCCAGAATGTTTATTTGAAGAATGATTTATCAGTGCCGTTACAAACGCAGCATTCGGAGATGATCTCGTCTCAGCAGGTCACAGTAGAGAGGCCAGCTGACCCGAACACCAAGGAAGTTAGTGGAGAAATGGGGACGTGCCCTGGAAATGTTGAAGAAGAAAGCGATAATTCAGTGTATTTTTTTGTTGCTCAGAACAGACATTTTCTTACATCTGCTAGCACAAAAGTATGTGATTATGAAAATCAAGTTGGAAATGTAAATAAATACAGTCTTCCAGCACTCAAGGAGGAAGGGAAGGTCACCCTGCGGTCCCACTGCAGTCTTTCCTCAGACGGGGCCGGGTCTGGGGAGCCTCTTCCTGCCGGTACATCTGAGGCAGTCGGGGGAGAAGAGTGGGGTCAGAGTGCCGTCCCCAGACAGACCACGGCCTCTGATATGAGCAGGTGGTTCCCTTCTGGGTCCGGGTGTGACCTCTATAAAACCATTTCTCTCCATCCCAAAGACAGTGCAGAAGAGCATGAGCTTCCATGGACAGCGTCTACAAGGGAAAGATTCCAGTCAGTGAGCCACTCGCAGGAAAGAAACCTCACTGAATGCAAGGGCCCTGGAAAGTCGCAAGTAATGTTAAATCCCAAAGAACCACCTTCTGGAAAGACACAGAATAAAAGAGTTAATAATGCTGATGAAATGGCGAGGCTAATTAAGAGTGTAATGCAGCTAGAAAATGATATCTTGGAAATCGAATCCAAGCAGAATAAGCAGCTATATGCTTCTCACACTGTGGGAGTCACTAATGATCTTGTGTTCCAGGAGCAGGAAATGGCTGAGCATGTCCTGGGGCCAGGCAGCTCTGGAAACCACTTGTCCTTCAAGGATCAGCCGTCTTCTCCCAGACAGACAGATGATGCTATCTTTAGGGGTGGGGAAGCTGCAGAAACGAAGGCCAACAGTAGCACTAGGGAAGATGCCCAGGTTCAGGAAGCCACCCTGGGTTCCTTCAAGTCGAGAGAATGGGTGCAGGACATGAGGTTTGTGAGAGAGCACAGTCCCCCGGCTGTATCAGACAAGCCCGCACAGGTGATAAATACAATATCAGAGTTTTTAGGGACATGTACAACTCACAGTGAGTGCACCAAAACTTCTGTTAATCCATGGCGAATGAAAGCATCGGCTAGAGCTGCACCATTGCAGGCCAGGCCCGAGTGGTCTTCTGCGAAGGAAAGCGAGGCCGTGCACGCATCAGCAAGCTCCAGGGGGCAGCCCTGGGACTCAGAAAGTCTGGAGGAATCAGAGACCGTGAAAGGTTTTCAGGAAAGCCAACTTGCCAAACACATAGGTAGTTTTGACCCAGAAGGGCCCAAAGTTCAAGGCAGAGTTAAAGAAATGACCATGCAAAGAAGAGAAAGCCCAGGAGAGGACTATGGAATGGTCTCACCGACTCAGAAACTTCTCGGTCCAAGCCAGCATTGTATGGGCACGTTTTTCAGCCAGGAGACCAGCCCGTTGCTGAGCTGGCCGTGCTCCTCTGCGGCCCCTCACCAAGACCCGAGTCACACCTTGCCCTCAAATTCCCCAAGACTGCCAAGAAGCTGTCTTCACATGCCGGGTGCTATAGGCATCTCTTCAGTTGACTATGTGCTGGACCCTACAGTGTTGAAAATGCCTAACAGTCCCCGGGGAACTGAAGCAGGATGTCAGGGCCAGTGTGGCGAGCCCAGAAGCCACAGCCCGCGGGGAACTGTCCGAGGGAACCCATCCAGGGCGCACACTGCTGGGTGTGGGTCTGCAAGCTTCACGGCCACAGGATCTTGGGATCACTCCAGTGCCCGGGAGAGCATTCCCCTGGGGGCTGAGGGCAGGAGATTAGCAAGCCCCAGTCCCCAAGACCAAGGATGGGACCCCAGAAGCACCTCGATGGGCTTGAGTGCCAGGGTGGGTTCTGGTGCTGAAGCCGAGGCAGCTATACGAAAAGGAACAGAAAGAGCTAGTTTCCCGAGGGCTCCCTGTCCCTTAGAAGAAGGTGACGACCGAGGCTGGGAAGTCAGGCAGAAGGCGGAGAAGAAGGCTGAGGACCCTCGTCGTAACAGTGCTACTGTCTCGGCACCTGCGTCCCTGGGACCACAGCTGGAGCCCTGCGCCCATACACCCGCAGGCCCAGCTGTGTTGGAAGAGATCAGAGAGATGGGGGCCCATGGAAAGCAGCTTCATGTCTTGGTGGCTGAGGGCACAGTCCTTTCTCACTCTGAGACTTTATCAGAACCTGAATGTTCTTCAGGAGTCCCTAGCAAGCCTTGGTGTCAACAAATGAACCAGCCAGTGTCAGATGGGACCAGGAATGACAGCAAAGCACAGGGACTTCATGGGGCCTCTTCCTGCATGGGACCAGGACACCTGTGGACTGATGAGAGGAAAGTCCTTAAGACCACACCTCCCTCTGCAGGCAGCTTTCAACCTCTGCCCAACACTGATGTCAACACGGGGCCGTGGCAGCCCTCACAGGGTTTCCCCCAGGCAGACCCCGCTCCAGGCTGTCATTCTGGAGAACTGAGACATTTCCTGAGTACAGGCGAGCAGTTTATTTGTTACTCTGGCCCTTTTGAAACTATAGAGGAAAAGAAAGCAGCACCTGGGCTACCTTCTGCTGATCCTGTAGGCTCAGACAGTCTTCCTTCTTCAGCAGCGTTAGAGAAGGACAGGAGGGTAACACCAGAGAAGGTATTCTCTGCCTTATCCTCTCAGGACCCTTCTGACGATCCTGGAGTGTGCAGGCCAGGGCAAAGCCGGCTGGTCCCCCGGGAGGCTGCAGGGGGCCCACCTCCTGGCAGTCAGGAGAGCAGCCAGGCACGCCAGGAACCTAGAATTCTGGACACCCCTGATGGAGGAGGTTCAGGTAACTGCATGGTGGCTGCACAGGGCGGAGAAGCAACCTGTTCTGAGAGCCAGCTTGTGATCTGTGATGTTCAGAGCTCTGCCAGTCTCCCGGGGCCTAACCAAGACCATGCCCAAGACCTCGAGGCTTCCAAGGTCTTAGAAAAAGGAAGCACAAATCCCAAACAAGGTACCGTCCTGGCTGGAGTCCTGAGAAGAGTTGAAGCGGAAGCTCCCTCACAGCAGTGTGTGAAGAAGGGGAGTGTTGGTTCTGGGCTGGCAGAAGCCTGCAAGCCTAGCAGCAAACATGCCAGGCCAACTCCATTGCCGGATCAAAGACCTGGCCCAGACCCTGGGGGAGTTAGGGAGGAGGCCCTGTGCAGGTGTCCACAGGAAACTTCAGATTGTGCTGTCCTCTCAGGGACCATTGGAGGCAGAAGGATTCTCAGCCCGTCCAGGGAGCAAGGAGACAGCAGAACTCTTCCTTGCCAACAGCTCTGTAACTCTCAACCCTTTGGCTCTCGTGCCTGCTCCTCCCCGCCTGTGGCCGCCCCACAGACTCTCCACCCGCCCTGCATAGTGCCTTCCAGGGCCTTTGGAATGGACGAGAGAGGAGAGAGCTATTGCAGCAAACCTGACGTGTTCTTGGCTCATGGCCTTGAGCCCGAAGGCATTCATTTGGAAGCTGGGCCAACAGGCAGCAGCACTCTGGAGCCCTCTGCTGCTGCTGTTGCTTTATCTCTGGCTCAAGGCTGCAGCTCCCCTTCTGCCCCTGATATGAGGACAAGTTCCCTCAGCTACTCAGTTTCTGGGGGGGATCCTGAGAAAAAGGTTGCTGAGAAGAAAGCCAGTGCAGAGCCCGAGGCTGCCCCTCTTCCTAAAGGTGTGTGCTCAGAGCCACTGAGGAAGTTTCAGGACAGCTCAGTAGGTGGCCAGAATGCACAGGAGTTTCATACCAGGCCAGAACTACCCGCAACAACCAGGGGACAATGCACCCTGAATTTAGGTGAAGAGCCTGTTGAGAGTGAGCTGCTGATGGAACCACAACCTGGATGTTTAGAAAATGCCATTAGATGCCTTCCAGAAAAGCCACAACTTTCCACTGAGTCCAAGGATCGCAGTGGCTGGGATCCCCAAGACAAGTTCGTAGCAAAGTTAAACCCCATCTCCAGTCCCCAGGCTGGCAGTCCCTGGGAGGAGGAAGAGCAGCAGAGAGAGAAGGCCTCAGGTGGTGGTGAAGACCCTGCCCAGGGCACGCATCCATCACCTTCCAGTGAAGGCGGCTTGGATGGCTGTCAGATTAGAGATGCCTGTGGAGGGGAGGGGGCTGCAGCCAAGGCCCCTGTGTCCAAGACATTCTCGTCAGGCTTTAAAGACTCAGCCAGTGTCCCCTTGGGGCCCGTGGCCCAGAGCCCTGGCCAGCTCTCTTCCGGTGGAGAACAGCTGGCTCCCCACCACAGGCACTCACTTCCCGTGATTGCCATTGTCTCTGGACCCAGACACTCCAGGTCCCCGCCCAGACCACACTTCTCTGTCGTCAGCTCTTCCTTGTCTCTTCAGGAGCTGAACTTGAGTGTGGAGCCTCCTTCCCCCACAGAGGAAGAGACCCAGGAGCCTAACAAATTATGGAACTCACATACCAGGGACCACTCCTCAGAAAAGTCGGTGGCAGGAACATCTCTGAAGGCTGGGGGCTATAACCAGAAAGTCTCATCTAACTTGGACAGTAGCTCTGTTGATTACAGGCCCCTTCAACCTGCTAGCCCTCCTCACCCATCGTCTTCAGCTCCCTCGTGCACACCAGCCCCTGATTTTACGACCCATTGGATGTCTGGTACAGAGGAACAGGCCCGGCAGGTAAAGGCAGAGAGGCTGGCTGGCCCGGCCAGGCCAGAGAAGGGGCTCTCAGAGGCAGACAAAGGAGTACTGTGCTTTGGCTCCAGTGACATCAATCCCCACGCTCTGTGCTGCCATCCAGAGGGCCCTGCGTGCATTGGCTGGAGGCGGTCTGCGTTCGGCAGTGCAGGCCATGTGTCCTGTAGCCAGACATCGCAGGGCCCGGTACCATCAATGATGTCCCAGTGCTCCAGCATGGACAATGGCCTAGAAGACCAGAACTCATTCCACTCCCACCTCAGCATCTATGCCAATGCCCGGGGCCTGGCAAGCCATTGTAGCAGCACTGAAAATGCCCAAGGTTCGCATGAGGCCTGGAAAGTATGGGACTCCTCGCTGGCCTTGGGGAACCCTCACATCCTGATGGGCCCCAAAGGAGCACCCCCCACTAAGGGTCCCGACAGGAGAGTGCAGTTCCCGGACACCCCTGATGCAGCAGACTGTGTGAGAAGCGATCCCCCCTGGGCCGAAGGAGGTGCCGCAGGTCCAGTGGATGAGATTATGCTGCTGTATTCCTCAGAGGTGGGCAGCCCTGTGGGACAGTCCAGGACGAACACCTGGGAGCAGGGCACGCAGACCCTGGGCTGCAGGCTCCCCTGCAGCCACACCGACGTCTCTGCTCGTTCGGAAGGCAGCTCCGCGCCAGCCTCCGATCTGGCCTCTTGGACCAGTGTGCACAGCCTGTCTCTGCACCTCTCGCAGCTCCTGCACAGCACCTCAGAGCTTCTGGGAAGTCTCTCCCAGCCGAGTGTGGCTGAGAGGGAGGCTCCAGATGAGGCGCCCCAGACGCTTACGATGGATGGCTGCACTCAGACCACTATGGACAAGGGCGTCCAGACAGACCCAGCCTCCCCACCTCTGCACCTGCAGGCCCCGGAGGCCAGCCCTCCAGAGGTCAGTGTGGTCCTTGAAATGCCCCGCTCACATGTCTCCACCATGCCTCGAGAAAAGGGACATGTCCCAGGGACACTTCAGAAGAGCGAGGCCGAGGAGACAGCGTGGAAAACGGCAGGACGCCCAGAGCTACGTGAGGAAAGCACCTGCTGCAGGTCGCAGGGTCCTTCGGCACCCTCCTGCCCCTGGGGGTTTCAGAAGGCCCCCTCTGGGCAGAGCCTCCCTTCTGTGAGCCCTCAGGCTTCTCCCGACGACTCTCTGCCTCCCGGCTCCCAGCCGGAGGAGCCCTCCTGCCTGGCTGGCAGCAGCCGCAGCCTTGGCGCCTCTCACTCCCCAGGACCCGGCCCCAGTGCTGCGGAGGCTGTTGGGGAGCCTGGGGCCCAGGAGGAGCTGTGCCCCACGGGTGCCTTGCTGGTGGACAGGGCCTCCTCCCCCATCCTCACACTCAGTGCTAGCACTCAAGGGCTGGGGCTGCCCCTAGGTCCTTTGTCTCTCTCGGCCCCCTCAGCACACCCTCTTGAAGGCCACCAGAAGCTAGTCTCCAGCCCAGACCGTCCCCCTGATGCCCCCAAGCCTCCAGTGGATGATTATTCTCAAACCATTGATGAGTCTGGAGGTGCCCAGAGGGTGGGCCTTCCGTGTGCAGAAGACAAAAGTTCCTTAGAGAGGAATGGGGGCAGGTCCGTCCTTGAGGCAAGCTCCCCAGGCAGCCCACAGCACAGCTCAAAAATCCAAGTTTGCTTCTTAGAGCGGCCGGATCAGCAGCTCCAGCCCCGGGCCACCGCCTGGGTCCAGAGCAGAGTGCCGCCACTGCCGCTCAGGGTCAGGGCTCAGAGGCCGGCTCAGAGCTTTGTCCCAGAGGACAAGGCTCCCCTGGAGTGCGGCCCACTTAGCAGCACAGGGCCCCCAAAATGGCAGAGGACAGAAAATTGGGATAAGAGTTCAGCATCTCCAGGGGAGCCACAGCCCGTTCCAGACAGCCCCTCTTTGTGGGGAGGCCCCCAGCACCTCAGCTCCTGCACTGTCTCTGCACCGACCGAGAAAACAAGGCTCCAGGGTCTTGCCTCAGGCTCAGCTGAGGCCTGCCAACCCCGGGGGCTGCTGCGCCCCAGTTCCCAGAAGTGCGGGACACCTGAGCCCCAGCATCACAGCCTGAGGGACCTCCCAGTGCATAACAAATTTAGTAATTGGCACGGGGTTCAGGATGGCTCTCCTGGGGAGCTAGGAGTGGTGGAGATGCTGGGGTCCAGGCAGGATCTCAGCTGTGGAGAGCAGGGACAGAGCCCCTCACAGCATCGCCACAACCAGAGCTGGGACCGAGGGCGGTCCCAGAGGGAGCAGATCCCTCTGCAAGTTGGGGCCCAGAACCTCTCACTCAGCGTGGAACTCACAGAAGCAAAACTGCACCGAGGCTTTGGGGAGTCCGACGCTCTGCTCCGGGTGCTGCAGACCGGGACGGGGGAGGCGCTCACTGCCGAGGACCCTGTGCCGTCTACCTGGGGGGAGCTCTACGCCCGGTAAGGGTTCCCAGCCTGGAGTGGGGGTAGCGGGGTGGCCTGAGAGGGAAGAGCAGTGAGGAGGGCTGCAAGCTGGCTGTTCCCTTTCCTCTTGCTCTGCCCTGGGATCTTCTGGGGGTCAGCAATAGAGCGTAGGATGGGGAAGGGTGCTCAGGGCCAGTTTCAGTGAGTTAATCACGTTTTATCTTAGGCAAAAACAAACCATTGAGACCCTCCGGAGACAGCGGGCTGAGCGACTTCAGAACCTCCGCCGGGCACGAAGCCTCAGCCCCCAGAAACAACTGAGCCTCCGGCCTAACAGGGACCTCCCCGCCCGGGACCTTGACTCGCCCAGCAGGCGCCGAGAATACCTGCAGCAACTGAGGAAGGATGTTGTGGAGACCACCCGGTAAGGGCGACCCAGACCCTGCAGGAAGCTGTGGGGAGCAGGGCTTGGATCTTAGTCTCCTGGAGACTGGAGGCTGTGGCTTCCTCTCTCACAGGAGTGACTCCGGGAAAGGGTCCGCTGTGCCTGTGGACAAGCGGTGGTGGCTGTGGCAGACTGGGGCAAAGGGAACAAATGGGAGGGGGGCGGGGGGGGGGCGGCACAGAGAAGTCCTGGGGGAGGATGAACAGGGCAGCTGTGACATACTGTGAGGCTGCAGGTCTGAGTCTCAACGAAATATAAAACCAAACTTAAGACCTTGCAGGCAAAGAGAGGGTGGGTCATTCAAGAGTGGTGTTGCCCAGCCTTGGCCCATGTGACTTGGTTGGTTGGCGGGTCATCCCGTAAACCAGAAGGTTGCAGATTCCGTCTCTGGTGAGGGCACGTATGAGATAGGCAACTGATAGATGTTTCTCTCTCGCATGGACATTTCTGTCCCTTTCCCTTCCATCTGCTCTCCCTAAAATCAATAAACATGTCCTTGGGTGAGGATAAAAAAAGAAGTAATGTTGCACATAAAGTAAAGGGTTGGAAAAAGATATTTCATGAAAATGCAAACAAACAAACAAGCTGGGCTTGCACTGCTACACCAGACAGAGCAGACTTTAATACGAAGAGTCAGAGAAGGATCCAGCAATTTTACTTTGTGCACTTACCCAAAGAAATCCAAACAGTAAATAATAAAGACACATGCACCCCGTGTTCGCAGCAGGGCTGTTTACAACAGCCAAGATATGGAAGCGGCCCAAGTGTCCCTCAGTAGATGAGTGGACAAAGAGAAAGTGGTGCATATATGCAGGAGAATCTGACTCAGCCGTTAAAAAGGATGAGCTTTTGCCATCTGCGACAACGCGGATGGGCCTAGAGGGTGTCGTGCCGAGTGAAGGAAGTCAGAGAAAGACAGATGCCATATGATTTCACTTGTATGTGGAATCTAAAAAACACCAGGGGAAATAGAAACAAACTCATAGATACAGAGAACACTTTGACAGTTGCCAGAGGGGAAGGGATTAAGAAGTACAAAATAGTGCCCCATAGAGATGTGAGGTACAGCACAGGGAACATAGTTAATAACACTGCAGTAACTGTGTGTGGTGTCACATGGGTGCTGGATTTGTCAGGGTGAGCACTTCGTACATTAAATACATGTCTGATCACTGGGTTGTGCACCTGAAACTAATATATTGTATGTCAAGTATAATCGTAAAATAAAAAACATTTACAGTTTAAAAAAAAAAGTGGTGTTGAGCAGGCCTGGGGTGACCAGGCCAAGGCCACTGCCCGCCCACCGTGTTAGAAGGCATTTTTCTGTCCCTGTGGTCCTTCCAGGAGCCCGGGGTCAGCATCGAGGTCTGCTCACCCACCCTCTGACATAGAGCTGATGCTACAAGAATACCAGCGGGCTCGCGAGGAGGCCAAGGTGGAGATTGCACGGGCCCGCGACCGGCTGCGGGAGCGAACAGAGCAGGAGAAGCTGAGAATCCGCCAGCAGATCGTCTCCCAGCTGCTGAGGGTGGGCAGTAGGGCCAGCCTCTGGCTTCAGGGTAGGCCTGGAGGCTGACCTCAGACCCATGACCTCTTCACCGGGGCTGCCTGTCAGTCATGGCATGTAGCCTTGGAGGAGAGCCAAATGCTACACTGGTGCCAGGTCAAAGCTGTGCTCACTCTCTCTTTACATGTCGTCTTTATCAGACCAGCTCCTGTTCCTGGGCCAGAGTCTGGGAGGGGGCTGCTTTGGTATACAGTTGGGTGGGAGTGTGGGAAGGCCTGAGACTGTGAGGCTGAGGTGGGAGGCACAGGGGGTGATGGGATCTGGGGAGGGCAGAAGGGGTGGTTTCGGGGCAGTGGGGTGTGGGTAGTGAGGGTGCACCAGAAGCTGGATGACGGTGATCTGCCCTTCCCAGGAAGAGGAAAAACTGCACACCCTGGCCACCTCTAGCTCCCTGTGCACCAGCTCCAATGGAAGCCTCTCCTCTGGTATCACCTCTGGCTACAACAGCAGCCCAGCCTTGTCAGGCCAGCTCCTGTCCCCAGGCAGTGTGGTGAGTAGGCAGATACTAAGTACAGGCAGGAAGTTCTGCCTCCTGCTGACATCTGATGACCTGGGGCCTTTGGTCTTTCCTCTAGTTCTATCTTTCATTCATTTTGTCTCCCTGTTCATTCATTCAACATATGTATATATTGTAGGTGTTTTAGACATTAGGGGTACAGCAGTGAGCAAAACTATTCTTGTCCTTACACAGACTATTAGATATTAGGTAAATATTAAGCATATTTTATAATTATTTAATTATTGTTTCATTATGTTCTATGAAGAAAGGATGCCAAGCCAGCATAAAACAGGGGACCTGACCTAGTCCGGAAGCTCAGTAAAGGTGCATTTAAATGGAGACTGTAAGGATGAGAGATGATTAACTTCGCAAAAGCTTAGGGCGGGTGGTGTCTCCAGGGATGTCGGGGCAAGAGGGCGGCTCTGAGGGAGGAAGGGTTTGAGGAACTAAAAGAAAACTCATGGTTGGAATGTAAAGAGTGAGACGGGAGAAAGACGTAAAAAAGGACCAGAAAGGTCAAGATCATGTAGACTCTATTGAGAATTTTGGCCCCTTTCTAATCCATCTGGTCATGTTGCTTCCCAAAAGCTTCCTACAGATATTAGTAAGTCTAGTTCTGCCTCATTCTTTTTAACAGTTGTATAGTGTTTCCATTTTATTCTTTAATTGCATGTTCTTAAATGTGATGATTTGTATGGATAACATGAAATAGAAAATGTGAAATTATGTACCTATATAAAAGTACGTAGGGAAATGCCCATCCTGTCCCCACCTATCTGGTCCATGCCCCTCACTCAACCCAAGGGAACAGTGGTGGTTTCTGGGGGGTGGATGGGGATCTTCCTAGGTTTATTTTATGCATATAAAATAAAGCGTATTATACCACTGTTCTGTACTTCCTATAGTTTTTCCAATCAGTACATCTTTACATGAGAATGTAGATTTTTTTTTATTGCTGCATAGCATTCCATTATAAGGATGTACTGTAATTTATTTAACTAATCCTCCAACTGGGATTGCTTTCAATTTTTTGCTGTCATAAGCAATGCTGCAGCGAATATAGCTTTGTGCATGTATCATTCCTTACATGGGCAGACACCTGTGGGGCCAGTTCCCAGATGTGGACGTGGACAACAAGCATAGGCATTTGAAACTTTGATACTCTACCACATACTCCCTTGTAGACGCACTGATTTTTACTCCCACCAGCAGCAGGCGAGAGTCCACCTCCCTTCCACCTTCTCGCCAACATGTTATGAAATGTTTGGACCGTTGCTGAGCCATCTGATCATATCCTTTGCTCATCTCTCTATTTTGTTCTCACCAGTTTGCAGTTTTTAATCCACTGAACTACACCAGCCAGGGCACAATCGACTTTTGTATGTTGACCTTGTCTCCTGTACCCTTCCTTGCTTAACTGGTTTATTAGTTCCAATGGTTTGTTTAGTAGATTTCTTCGGATATTTTGTATATAAGACCGTATCATCTGCCTTTGTTGCTGTAGTCTTCTTGCCTAATTGCCCGGTTAGAATCTCCAGTACAGTGTCACACACAAATGTCGAAAGCAGACGTCCTTGTCCTGTACTGACCTTAGAAGAAAGCCACCCAGCCTTTTATCATTGTGTTAGCTGTGTGTTTTTCATGGATAATCTTTATTAGGTTGAGAAAATCTCCTTCCAGTCCCAGTTTATTGAGGAATTAATGAAAAGGTGCTGGATTTAGTTAAATACTTTTTCTGCATCTGTTGGAATGATAATGTGGGATCTTTAAAAATTTTACTACTATGATGTATTATATTGATTGATATTTGTATGTTGAACTTACCTTGTGTTGCTGGGCTAAGTCCCACTTGCTCATAGTGTATAATCCTCCTTACATGTTTCTAGGTCAGTTTGCTAGTATAGGCTTGAGGACTTTTGTGTCTGTATGCTTATGGGGTGTGGGTCTGTAGTTTACATGTGATGTTTTTGTCTGGTTTTCGTATCGGGGTCATCTGGCCTCGTAGAATGAGTTGGGAAGTGTTCCCTCTTATTTTTCTGAAAAACTATGAAGAATTGGTGTTCACTCTTCTTTCAGTGCTTGGTAGATTTCACTAATGTAGTTATCTCTTCTTGAAATGTTCCTTGTGGGATTTTTTAAATAATTAATTAAATATCTTTGTTCATTGTTTATTCAGATTTTTCATTTCTTTTTGAGTCAATTTTCAGTAGTTGTGTCTTTCTAGGAATGTGTCCATTTCATCGAAGTTATCTAATTTGTCGGCATGTAGTTGTTTATTTTTCATTGATGTATTCTTCACAGTTAAAATTTCCCTCTGAGCACTGCTTTAGTTGTATCCCATAAGTTGCTAAATATATTTTTATTATCTTTGTTTTATGGTAGTTTTGCATTTTAGTTTGTACTTCTTTCTTGATTCAATGTTAAGAAAGTTTTTTTAAATGTTTTTGGTTAAAAGGCCCTTGTGTTTTCTGATTTGTGATTAATTTTTTAGTTCTGTGAAGAGAGAATGTATCATTTCAGAGAAAGTGATTTCTATTTTTTATATTTATTGAGGGTATTCATAGTCGTGCATATACCAGGTATCTAAAAATTTTTATCTTCATTCTGTGGTCTGTTTTCTCAGTTTTGGGGGTGTATATGTTTTATAATTGGAGGTCTTATGTTTACAATTCTTTTCTTATCACTTGTATATCTTTAAATATCCTTATTTCTGGCTTTAGCAGTTTTTTTTTCACCCTGCCTATAAAACATTAGGAGATCAGTGTATTTACATTTTCCCTCTTTTTTCTCTTTGCCGTTTGTTATGGTATTTCAGCGGTTTATGATGTTTGCATCCAGAGTTTTCGTCCTTGGGCCGGGTTAAATGCACTCTGCTCGCTCATAGTTCTTTGCCACACATTCTCTTTTCCGCCCTCACAATTCTTCCTCTTGTAATTTCTTCAAGAAAGACTCAAGGGCACTGTATTCTCTAGGTTCTCTATTTCAAATCCAAACCACACCAATTTACAGCCTCAAATAACAATGCATTATGGTGCTTGTTTACCCCTGCTCTGCTGAACAGAACACTACCAAGAACGACTGAAGGCTTTTCTTCAGTCTTTGCCAATCCGACAGGTGTAAATAGTATTTCATTTTAGTTTTAATTTGCAATTCTCTTCTCGCACCTGAGATCAAGTGTCTCTTCAGGTGTCTAAAAGGCCATTGGTCTTTTTGCTCTAGCAGCTGGTGTTCCGCGTCCGTTTCTTTACTCAGTGCTTCTCCCTTCGTGTTTGGAGGCCCTTCTTCATAGTAAGACAATTATCCTTTTTGTTTTTTGTCATTTGAGAGTCCAGAGTTTTTCCTAGTTGTGCATTTTTAGTTTGTTTACATTTATTACTACATAGAAAATTTTGATTTTGTATAGTCTAGTTTTTAAACGACCTTTTCTTTCATGACTTCTGGATTCTGTACCCTGTTTAGGAAACCATTTCCCCACTATGAGATTTAAATTTTATTTTCTTGTCATAATATTAAATTACTTTTTACCCCTTGCTTTTTTGAGTCACAAAGCATAAAACACTCATTTTGCCATTGTGTGTGAAGTGGTCTGGGGTGTAACCTTTTCTGCAGATGATGACTCCATTGACTTGGTGGTATTTGTTAATGAACAGAGATTTATTTTGGAAGTTATGAACGCAGCACTGTGAGCCGGTAGGATCACCTAGTAGTACATTATAGAGAAAAGAGGGGCTAGACCCGAGCTTTGGAAAAAGTCCCCAAATATCAATTTGTGTTTGAGGAGGAGGAGTCCGTAAAGGAAACTGGGAAGGAGCAGAGATAAAAAGCGAGAAGCCTGGGGACTTGGGCAGTGACTGTTATCTCAAGTGAAGGGGAGAAGCTGGCCGAGTGGCAGTGCGCTGAGAGGCTCAGTGAGTTGAGGACTGAGAGTGTTCACTAGATTCAGCCACGAGGACCTCACGGAGACTGGGCGCTTGCTGCTTGGTGGAGCAAATTCCATTCAGTTCCGAAGGGAGTGAGCGGTGGGAAGCTGCAAATGTGACAGTCCTTTCAGGAACTTTATCTGTGAAAGGCAGCAGAGCAGACACCTGTAGAGAAACATTTTTCAAGGTGGGAGACTATTTGCATGCTTAAAGGCTAACAGGATAAATCTAGCGAAGAAGGAGAGGTGAGGACAGACTATCAGTAGTGCAAGTTTCCTAAAAACGGGGAACGAGATCTCATTCTGCCTAAAGTTGAAGAGGCCACTTGTATGTTGCAGCAGGAGGAAGGAAAACAAGGAGATAACTGTCTTTGTTCACCTCTTATTATCTTTAAGGTGGTGCTAGGTTAGGAACTGAAGATAAGTAGTGTGGCGGTCCCTGTAGACCCATCAGAGGTCAAGGGTCATGTCACTGAGGAACTGGCTGAGGTTAAAGATAAGGTGACTGTATCTCAGATCCAGAGGATGATCCCCCTTTGGTCCAAATTAGGACCTTAGCCTTAACTGCTGCCTGTGCTTGGTCAAGCTTTCCCCACCTTTTCCCCCATCCCTCCTCCCACTTGGGCTTTGTTTGCTGCCCACACTAAACCCAGCTCCAGCCATGACCTCATTCCTGTTGCCACAGTGGTACAGAGGGTCGCTCACCCACTGGCCCCTGATACGTGGTCCTCTCAGGCCCCAGTTTGGTCTGATCCCTGTGGAATTTTCCTACAAGCAGCCTTCATGCCTGTGGCTCCAAGAGTGAGAGATTGTCTAGGCACTGGTTCCTATTGCTGTTGACAGCTCGGGGCGTCCAGGGTCCTGCAGCCCCAACAGGAAGGCCTTGTTCATTCAGCCTTTATGTGGGAAACTGCTGGTGCATTCCGGAGGCAGAGGACACCCCTCCGCACTGGCTCTCTGCACTCGGTGTTCTCTCATCTTCTGCTCCGGACTCGAGCATCTCTCTTCTGCAGGGGGACACCAACTTGCCTGATTCTGGAGACTCTTGGATGGGGGACGTGCGAGGCCGGTCTGCAGTGAGGAACAGTCACCCAAATCTGGCTGTGTCTGCCTGGAAGAGCGTGGCCTACAGTGAGTGGTGGGGGCATCTCACCTGTCTGATTTGGGGACGTTGGGGGCTGAGGTTGGCTGGGTCCATGGGAGCCACTGGCCCTCAGAGGCCGTTGCCATCCAGAGGCCCTGAGGCTCACGCCTCCACCTCTTCCCCATAGGCCGCAGAGCCTCTCTGGGCAGTTGCTGCTGTTCTTCATCCAGTGTGTCCAGCCTGGGGACCTCCTTCTCCTCCTCCTACCAGGATCTGGCCAAGCACATCGTGGACATCTCTGTGGCTGATGTGAGGAACTGCTCCACTTGTCCCCACAGTTCCTTTAACAGGTCTTGGCTGGGGGGAAGAGAAAGGTGGGAAAGAACACGCTGGGGGCCAGCAAGGCTTACGTGGCTTCTCTGGTGGCCCTCCATCTTGACAAAAGGGGACTTCAGAAAACGCTGGCCTGGGTGACCAAGCTGTGCGTCTGGTTTCTACCACACCTGCTGAGGTGGGCGTGGTCACTGTGTTCCCAGGTAATGGCAGCTTGCTCAGATGATCTGCACAACCTCTTCAGTCGCCAGGCGGCCGCTGGCTGGAAGTAAGTTCTTGTGCGGTGTCTTGTCCTGACCGTTGTCCAGCTCGCCTCTCCCTTTCCCTTCTCCACCTTGAGCTCCTCCTTGGTGCCCCTGGGACCTGTTTTCACATCCTCCTCCCTATCCTTGGTGTCCCAGCTATCAGGGCGAGGAACAGGAGGTGCAGCTCTACTACAAGGCATTCTCTTCTACTCGGCATGGCTTCCTGGGGGCCGGGGTGGTGTCTCAGCCGCTGTCTCATGTGTGGGCAGCTGTGAGTGACCCCACCCTGTGGCCCCTGTACCACAAGCCCATCCAGACGGCGAGGCTGCATCAGCGAGTAACCAACAGCATCAGCTTGGGTAAGCCCTGTTCTGTGGGTTCTGCCCCGGGACAGGCAGTGGTTGGAGGCAGCCCTTTCAGCAGGCCGGGCACTCTGACTACGTCCAGATCACTCAGGCTGGGTCCAGCGGTGTGGTGGGCTGTGGAATGATGGAGTGTTGGGGGCCCTGAATGAGGAAGGATTTAGGAGTAGGTCTTGCCTACCCACCTGCTGACTCCCCACCCTGACCCTCCAGTGTACTTGGTGTGCAACCCTGCCCTCTGTGAACTGAAGCAGCCGCGGGATTTCTGTTGTGTCTGCGTGGAAGCTAAAGAGGTGCCTGCCTTGCTGGTGGTAGAGATACTGTGGGAAGAACTTGTGAGACGCAATCTTTGTGGGCCCTGGGTTCTTTGGGGGAAGGAAGACGATTTGGGTGGGGAGGCCCCATGCTGCCTTCCACAGTACTGACTGCACTGGAGCCTGTCCCTGTTTGATCCACATCCCATAGGCAGGACTCACACTGCTCTCTGTCCCCAGGGCCACCTTTCTATCATGGCAGCTCAGTCTGTGTATGACACATCCATGCCGAGACCCAGCAGGGACACAGTCCGAGGGGAGATCCTGCCCAGTGCCTGGATCCTGCAGCCGCTCGTCAGGGAAGGAAAGGAGATCACCAGAGTCATCTACTTGGCCCAGGTGAGGCCCCCCCACCCAGCCTGCCCTGCTTTGGCTTCACAGCCCCATGGAGTTTTGTTTGGCTGCCCAGTATCCTTTAGTGCTCAGACTCTGTGGTCTGAGAATGAAGACTCAGGCTTTTTGGGTCACAGTGAGGGCAGTCAGTGGGGAATGAGAGAACAGATCAACCCCCTCTGAAGCTGCTAGTACCAGAGGCCCAGCAGGCTACCTTCTCTGGCTGGTCCCAGGGTCCTCAGGAGATACAGAAGTTACTGTGAGGCGAAGGCAGCAGCCTCAGCAGAGAGAACGTGATCCATTCTATTCAGCTCTCTACTCCCAATTCCCTGACCTGACTGTTGTCACTGGGAGGTGAAGCCAATGCCTGGATCTGAACAGCAGGGCTCAGGGCCTTTAGTCCCAGGAGCTTCTCTCACAACAGCTGGTGGGGGCTACTTGTGGCCGAAGTGTGCGCCCTGGCACACTCCTAGGTCTGTACCTTTTTTAAAAGATTTTATTTTTAGAGGGGAGGGGAGGGAGAGAAGGAGAGAAACATCCATATGTGAGAGAAACAATTGGCTGCCTCTCACGTACCCCCAATTGGGGACCTGGCCCACACCCCAGGGATGTGCCCTGACTGGGAACTGAACCTGCAACACTTCACTCTGCAGGACAATGCCCAACCCACTGAGCCAACCAACCAGGGCCTTTCTGTACCTTTGTCTCTTCAATTTCTGCTTTATTTCAGATAGAACTTGGTGCTCCAGGTTTACCCCCTCATCTCTTGAGCTCCTTCACCAAACAGCAGCCGCTGGTTATAGCCAGACTGGCTTCCTTCCTTGGTAGTTAGCACCTCGCCATCAAGATGCTGAGATTCAGGCCCAGGATGCTCCAGAGAGGCTGGGGAAGCTCTTGTTACTCTCTGTACCCTGATGCAAGAGGAGGCAAGGCCACTTGCTGTGGCCAACCGAGCAGGCGGCACTCAGCCCTGAGTTGCCAGCGAAGCCCAGTCAGCCCTTGGTCACAGCTGGCACCTCGGCAGACCAAGGGGAACTGAGCTCCTGGCCTTCCAGAGCAAATGATGTTCAACTCATCTTCTTGGATTTTTCACCTTTCTTTCCTGTCTCTGGGACCCTATGGCAGGCAGGCCCTGCAAGGACCAGGATTGGACAGAGCCAACAGAGCCAGGAGGCGGCACGGTGCTTCCTCACGGTCTGACACGGTGCTTCCTCATTGTGACCCATCCCTCGAGCTGGTAGGGAGGCAGCCATTGGCTAAGACTGCTCAGAAACCTGCCGCCAGCATTCAGTTCCACGGTGGGATGGATGGAGTGTTGCCAAAACGGAAAACTGGTTTTAAAAAAATAGCTGCACAAACCAGAACAGTGATTCAGAATTGTCTCCTTGAATTTTGACCAAGCGCTTTGTTATTAATTTCTGCTTTCCCCCATCTTCCTCACAAGAGAGGACATCTAGGTCTTTGCCTCAGGCGGAAGTGCTGACCAGTGCTCTGCCACAGAGCTGTCAGTCCAGAGCCCAGTAGAATGAGATGACCACTGTAGAAGCAGATTGGACCGATCTGGGGTCAAGGTGGGGGCCTAGCTCTCTAAGGGAGGGTGGGAAAGTTAGGAGGTGGGTAGCCAGATGCTGGCTGCTAACAAGGCAAGAGGAATTTTGAAGAGATAAAAAACTCTTTTGAAGATGGGAGAGAACATACTGGAACTCCTAGAGGAAGAGGAGGTAAGTGATTTGTTAAGCGGAAGCTTGGTTCCATTTCTTACCACACTCAGGTGGGCTCGTTAGCATTTCACGCTGCTGCTGCTGCTGCTGCAGTCACACGTACTCTAGGATGGAGGGAGAATGGGTTTTCTCATTTCTTAGCCTGGCTGAACGTGAGCTTCTGAATATTCTATGTGGTTATCTGGAAGTGGTAGGGGTGGCAGATTCCCAGCTTTAGTTCTGCTGCCCAGAATCTTTGGTGGAAGAAGGTGACCATATGGGAATCAAAGTGTGGGAAATAGGTAAATTTCTGTAGATTACAGCAGAGATTTATTTTTCTAAAAGCATTTTGTTTGCAGGATTTTTTCCTCTTACCTCAAATTAAGTTATTTATGTATTATTGAATGAAAAGTTTTAAAACTGTCTTTAAACTTTTATTTTCCTGGGGTTTTTTTTCTGTTTGGTCAGTTTTATGTTTAATGCCTCACTTATGGACTCCCCCCTCTTTTCCTCTAACTCTCTCACCGAGAGTGCCGTCAGGGCACTTCATTAGTGAAGACCGCCCTGGGACAGCCTGAGCGTGTCACCTGAGCTCCGAAGCAGCTTGGAGATAATGATGGCAAAAACTACTCATGGCCCAGTTCCAAATCACACAGCTGACACAGATGGACTGAGCTCAGCACTTGCTTTAAAGCACATAAATAGCAACCAGATTAGATGCCCAACTATGGCCAGTTGTAGCCTGAATACCAAAGAGGGAGGAGTCCAGAACAGTTATAATTACCACACCTAACAGTGACTGCAGTCCCCTGGAAGTTAGCTCTTTAACAGGTATGCACTGGTGGCACTTCTGAGGCAGAGGCAGCAATGGGCACCTGAGCACATGGGTAGCCCAGAGGTGACCTTATCCCCATACCCCAGGCCTGTGAGTCAGCAACCTAAAGAATATTAACTGAGGCTGATAGTACAGCAAAACGCAAAAGTGTTAACGATAACCCGCAGACCTACATTTCCATGATAAAGTCAGACTTGCATTTAGACAAGTGATTTTACAGACACTCATGCACCAGAATCACTGGAAGGATTTGTTACCACCCCAGGCTGGGCCCAACACCCAGAGTTTCTGACTCCGTGAGCTGAGAGAGGGGTCTACATATTTGTATTTCTAGAAAGTCCCAAGTGAGCCCGAGGCTGCTGTCTGAGGACCACACATTGAAAACCACTGCTTTTAATAATTGATGGAGAACAGATATATAGAAAGGAACTTAATTAGCGCATCAGCTGCCTCTAATTCCAGTGTTATCTGACTGCTGAGAGTAGGCCCGTAAGGTGCACACAGGCCAGCATTAAGTTTCCTGAACTGGGCCTGTGCTAAGGTTTTTATCCCCTCGTCCTTGGGCCTGCCCACCCACCCCCACCCCCCCTCACTCAGCGGGGTGTCTGGGACAGCTGCTGCTTCCCTTGGTGCTGCACTTCCTGAAATTCTGTAGTAGTAACTGGATTTAAAGGACAAAGATAAAGGACTTTGAAATGAAGAGATTATGAAAAATGGTTCAAATGTAGAAACCTATTAAAGGAGTGACTGGGATGAAGGGAAAGGTGTAGGCACTGGGCAGAAGCCTGATGACAAAGTGGTAATGAAGAGACAACCCCATGTGACGGACTTGAGTGACTCTCCTTACCTCCTTTACTGACGTCACCTCCTTTACTGAGGTCACACAGCAGACACCTCTAGGCTCAGAGACTCGTACCTTTTCCCAAGAAATACACAGGGATGTACAGAGGAGACTTTGTAGGCCATTTCAATAGGGCTCACCAAGAACCTTCTTCCCCAAAAGCCTGAATCTCTGGCACACTGTCAAGGCAGTGTGGGCTTGGTCAAATCAATGGGTCATTGTTCCCCTGTACCTCCAGCCCCAACAAAACAAGCACAACAAGAGCTGCCCCACCATCTAGGTTAGTACAGAGTATCTAGTGACTAAAAACTTACCCTAAACCTTTCAAGGCAGTTGCACAAAGTCCAGTGTGTTGGCTTCTGTAGCCTGCAGGGCCTCATATGCCTGAATGCTCGAGACTAGTACTGCTCCACCCTTCTACAGGGAAGAATCAAGTGAAAATAACAAGATATGAAGTCCTCAGTAAAGAGGAATTTATTTTAAAAAGCTCTAGTGTTCTGGTCCTTGCTTAGCCACGCCTGGCTGGAGCCAGGGTCAAGAGTTACCTGCAGGGGCCAAAAGAAGGGAGGTGCAGGATAACGCTGGGCTTCTGTCGGGCTCATCCCACCTCATCTGTCCTGCACTTTTAAGGAGACGGCAGTCCACCTGCTGCTGGTAAGAAAATGTAAGCTCCCAAGACTTGTATTCTAACTTTACTCACAAGTTAGGCCAAAAGTCATCTGCCTCTGTCATGATTTCCCAAACCACAGTCTTGAAAGATGCTGGAATGCAGCAAGGAGGGCTCAAGCCCTCTCCCATCATTCCATTGAGTGTCCAAGTAATAAATGCCAACTCTTGTGCTCTGGGACTGGAGTCTAGCCTTTGCCACCATAATCCTGACTCAGGCGAATCCTCCTCCTCCTCCTCATCCTAGGACTCAGGGTGCCGAGCCTGCAGTCGGTGAGAGGCCACGCAGCCACACGAAGGCTGGTTGCAGATTCAGCTGCTCCTGCACCAGCAAGGGTCAGCAGTGGGCACTTGGTGGCACTGGGGCCTCCTCCTGAGGCAGAGTCAGGCAGGGTTCCAGGCTTCTGCTGAGACGTCACGGCAGGGCCCCTTCCCAGCCCTAGCTCTGGGCCAGCACGGTGCCACGGTTAGGCTGCACCAGCTCACAAGCTCTTAGCTGAGGTTCTGGCACCTGTGGCTCAGCTAGAAACAGGCTGAACAGTGTTGCTAATTCTTCAGAGAAGTCCTGCAACAAGCAGATAACAGGAAAGGTAGGTGTAATTTGAGGTGGTTCATCCTTTCTACTAAAAATCTTCAGTATCTTCATATCCATAACTTCATCTTCTACACTGAAATGGACTTGAAACCTTGCCCCATTAGGTACCCTGGGGAGCTTGAGTTCCCGCAGGGACAGTAAACTGACCAGAGGCTCAGAACTATCTGCTGGGTACTGATCACCATCTGAGTACTTAATATGCACATTATTTCATCTCAACAAACCCCAGAATACATACATCTTTCTCATTTTATGGTTGAACTGAGATAAATTATTTGACCTAAATCACAACATTAAATACTAGATGAGATTAAAATTCAGGTTATTGATTTAAAAAACCCACTCACTGCCATGCTGCTCGCTCACTATACCCGCCTTCCAACTTCCCTTCCACTGACACGGCTCCCCATACAGCAGCTGCTCAAGTGTGACGAGGGCACACACCAGAATGGCCACTCCATTTTAGGGCGGTCCTGGGACACCTGACAAAATCCACTGAGCTTTGGAAAACTGCTAAGAATGCCAGGCGCCACCACTTGCCCCCTTTCAGGGAAAAAGGGACATATGATACCTGTTCTTTTTCCAGGTAAGGGGAGATGAGGACTCCTTACCTCTGGCCACTGGGCTTCACGGAGGCTGTCCAGGCAGGCCTCTATCTCTCTCCGCCCCATCAGACCTTTCTCCACCAGCTCCCGGAGCAAGAACAGCAGCAGGTCCCACTGCAACACACATGCGGGAAGTGAGGGTGGCTGGGAGGACTATACAGTGACCCTGACTGACACAAAGGACAGAGCTGCAAGGAGGGAGAAGACCTGAGGTCAGCCACTATAGGAGTCCGTTTCAGCATGGAAGAGAAAATGGGGAAAGGAAAGAAACGAGCTCATAATGTTTGGAGTAAGAGGGGTGGGTGTGAGAACATGACCTGGCAAGACCCCAGAGGGCTAGGAAGCCTGCCCGCCCCTTTCCACCTACCCACCTCTGACTCACCTCCCTCGGCCGAGTGTCTGCCAGAAGCCCCACATTTCTTGGGCTCAACAGCAGCTGCAGGGGGACGGGCACCTGAAAGTCATCCTTCCACAGGGAAAGCAGCATGTGCAGGAGCCTTCGAGCCTGCCCTCTCTCCAGCCAGTGCTGTGCCGGGGGCCCTAGGACAGGAATTTGGTCTGCAACTATGGGGAGAGAGGAAAGCTGAACTTAAAGAAATAGAGGCAGGGTCACCTGGCCAGTCCCTGAGAGGAAGAAGAGCAAAACAAAGTTTTATGATCTGATCTTGCTTGTACCCAACCCTGAGATTGGGGGGGTCTGGCAAAAGAGGAAGGTGCAGAAGACATACCAAGGAGGGATGCTAACTCCACAGAGCACTTTGCCAGATGCTGCTCGGCAGGTGGGCACAGGAACTGGGGAAAAAGCATGGAGACCATGGACATTAGCAACATCCTTAGAGTAGCAGCCCTGAGCCAATGCGGGTCTGGTTATTAGGCACAAAGACATGACCATCCTGCCACTGCCTACCTGGCGGCACTGCAGTGTCTGGCCCAAATGGCTGAGGAGCTGTTCAAGATGCTCTGGGGACACTCCTTCCTCAGGGTCCCGGGGCCCCGCAGCCACAGAGAGCACATCCTAGAGACAGCCGGGGCAGAGTGAGGCCACAGAGAATGTGGCTTGGAGTGGGGATCAGCCAGTGGGGAGAGGCAGAAGGAAAAGGAAGGCAGGACCACTGGGGGCTGGGATAGGTCAGCACAGCTGGGAGAAGCAACCAAGTGGACAACAACAAAGGGAGCAGATGGAGCAGGTAAGCCAAGGAACATGCTGTGACAGTTCAAGAGATGCCACTCATTTTGGGACAAAGCCACACCTGGCCAATTTCCAGAGAATGTCTTATTCTGAAAGAATTTAGGGGAAGCACCCAACTGTATACACACAATATTCTATATTTCATGCTTGTCAGGTTTCAGTACAGAAATTTTCTGTATATTGAAAATTAGTAGCTACTGGCCACTTCACCTTTTTTTCTCCTATATACTCTTTTAGTCTCTTGTCCACTTCTTACTCCTATCGTAATGCCCTAGAGCAGGGCAAACGAGTAAATAGTTGAGGCTCCGCAGACCATGAGGTCGGTGTCCCAACTACTCAGCTCTGCGCTGTGGCACTAAAACTGCCCTGGAC